TTGTGTGTTTTATCCAGGTTGTTTTTTGGGAAAAAGCACCTTAGCTTTCCCCCTACAAAACAACTTATAAAGAGGGGAGGTGTTACATACAGCACTGATGTTACCTGTCTGTCATGGGTTTGGAGGGAAAGTTCCATCCTATGGGGAGTGGAAGGCGGGACATCAGGAGGAGGGGCTGTACTGTATATATATATGTGAAGCCTGTGTGGTGAAGTTCAGACGCTGGGATGTGAAGAAGCAGCAGCTGGGAAGAAGAAGCTGGTGTGGGAGTCTGTGTGTCAGACAGGGTACTACTGTGTGTCAGAGTACCAACCTGATAGGTTCAGGTGTCTGTATGGTTAGCCAGAACTGATAGGTTCAGGGTCTGTGCTTCAAGTTAAGGGTTCTGTGTGAACCAAACTGTATGCATGTATGAATGAGACTAAGCCACGTTACTATATCTTATTCACCTGATTATTTTATTTTCCCTGTGTGTTGTATTTAAATAAACCTTATTCTTTTATTTGTTGAAAATCCATCCCTGGTCTGTGTGACTTCTTATAGGGAATGGTTGGTGGCAGCTTAGTTAACGTGTGGCAGATCCCAGTAGGTCTGGGTTTGTCACACCGCCTTCCCCAGCCAGTCCGTGGGTTGAAAAAGTTTGGGGATCCCTGTGTTAGAGGATGGTTCCAAAGCGCTGGTGCCACTAAGAAGGTCCAGCTTCTTGCCAAGAGCTTTTCTGGCCTCTTTTGCCATGGCTACATGTAGGAGCACAGCCTGTGAGGATCTGGTGGTTTGAGCTGATGTCCTTGGCGAGAGATGTTCCATCAAGTAGCATGGCCCCAAAACATGGAGGGCTTTATAGGTGAGTATCCATACTTTGAACTTGATCCAAGATGCCATCAGTAGCGAAAGCACACAAGTGAGGCCAAGGATATGATCAAATCTGTTCCCACCTGCATTTTCAACCTGTTGTAGTCTGCCAATCAACCTCAAGGAAACTCCCACGTAGAGAGCACTGCGGTAGTCTGTCCTGGAGATCACCAACACATGATCACCAAGGTCTTACTCAAGACTTACAAACTCAAGGCTATTGCTTACTTTATTATGAAAACACATCTCATGTTAGGTCTTCTTTTTCCACTGCCTTCCATTTTTTCCTTGCATTATTCTCTTTTCCAGTTACCTTGCCTTCTTATGATAAGTCCAAAGCATGACAGCCTCAGTTTGGTCATTTCAACATCTAGAGCAGTGGTCCCCAACCTTGGGCCTCCAGATGTTCTTAGACTACAGCTCCCAGAAGCCTTCACCACCACCTCTGCTGGCCAGGATTTCTGGGAGTTAAAGTCCAAGAACATCTGGAGGGCCAAGGTTGGACACCACTGATCTAGAGAGTTCAAGCCTAATGTGACCTAAAATCAATGTATTTGTCACTGTGGCAACCCATAATGCCTGTAACAGTCTCCTCCAGGGCTGCATTTCAAAGGAATAATATTTTCCTTTCACAGCTTTCACATTCATACAGAGTAACTGGGACTATCATCGTGTGGATTATCTTGGCCTTGGTCTCCAGCCTCCTTCCCCTTAAGAATCTTTTTGAGTTTCTGTGTAGCTGCCCTCCCAAGTCTCAGTCTGCTTCTGATTTCTTGGCTGCAGTTTTCATTTGGATTGATGACTGAGCTGAGGTACACAAAATCTTTAACAAGTTTAATTTCCTCATTGTCAAACTTCAAAGTTGTATAGTTCTCCTACAGTCATGATTTTTGTCTTCTTCACAAAGACAGCCATTGTTTTAACTATTGTCTTAACCATCTTTTTAAACATTACGTGGACACAGCCACATAGCATTTTTAGAAAAGAGAGGATTCAAAGGAAGAAGCCAAAGTTGTCAGTTGTGTGTAGAGAACCAAAGGAGGTAAATCTAGTTAACACACCCTAGGGAGCCCTTGAGATGTCCTGCCTAGTCAAACAGGAGCTTATCAAGCTACTATGCCCGGGGTGGGGGAACCTGCAGCCTTCCAGACATTTGACTCTAAAAATCATGTCAGACCACTGATCATACTATATGGGGCTGATGAGAGGCTAAAATTCAACATCTGAAGGGCCACAAGGTCTTTATTCCTCTAGCAGACACTGGAAATGTTGCTGTTTTAGCTAACAATTGCTTGAATCTTCCAGCCTCCCAAAATTAGTGAGGAAGCAGGCTAATGTGGCTAGTGTGGCTATTGACCATGCTGACTGGAGGATTCTGGGAGCTGTAGTTCAGAAAAGGTACTTTCCCAAACTCCACCCTAAACTACAGACATGTCAGTGCAGAGTATTATGTGCAGTGTCTCTACAGCGTTGATCAAAACTTTCATGGTATGCTTTCTGTTTTCTATCCATTCTGCCTTTCACATATGTGAACCACAGGTGAAGCTCAAAAGCAAAACTTGTCCACAGAGAAGTGTCAACTTCCTCACAATAGCATCCCTTTACTCATAGAACGATTTTCCATGCTACTGACTTTCTGATGAAAAATTTTAAAAAGGGTACAGGAAGCCACCAAATTAACCCATATGAAATGTCAGGGTTACCTTCAAAATCATATCCTACCTTCTCTCATATAGGAAACAGCTTTTGATTTAATATTGGACTGAATATTGCCTGTGTTAGACAGATAGTCCAGGACATAAATATTAGGTGCAAAATTGATCATGTTCTGTTCCCCACAACCGTAAGGCATCTTGATCAGGGACTCCATACCACTGATAGAAGGGCCAAGAATGTCACCTGAAAGATACAAAGCACAAAACAACATATTTTAGTTATTATTTCTTCAGTACGTTACCCTGCCTTTCCTCTAATAATCTCAATGCAGTGATGCTCCTCCTCCCTACTTTATCTGCACAAAAAACTATACAGCAGACGAGGCTCAGAAGAAAGAGATGGAGACAAAGAGAGAGAAACCGCATATCTGGCTAAATGTCACCCAATTTTTGCATGCCTCAGTGGACATCTGAACCATTCATTATCCTTCAAATCCCAGTCTGACAATCTAAACACCATATTTGCTCTCCCTGTACATCTCTCTGGCTCTGGAAATGATGCCACCAACACTGTGCAGAATAGGAACAAAGACCACCAAAATGCTTTTTTCCATGATGTACTTTCAAGTCACTTGAGCTAGCCACTGTGCTGATTTTCTTTTAAATGTAAAAAAAAGAAACCTAATAGAGGCATGCTCTATAATGAAGCTAGCTGAAACCAATGAAGAGTAACTGAGACTGTAGCACTGCTGAACTAGGAAGTAGGGATTTGATGAAAGTGTATCAGTATAATGAGATCCCACTGTGGCACAGCATCTAGAGTAGAGTACCAGGACTTTGTAAACCTGGTTCCCAATCCCCACCCAGGGATTAAAACTGACTGGGTGATCATAGAACACATACACTCTCTTTGACAAATAAAATAAATTAATAAAAGTGATTAATAGTCCGGAGGGGAGACCACGGAAACCATATTAAGAGTAGAATATAATAAACATGTTTTTAAAATTGCAGATAATGATATATGAAATTAATGAAAAACATCGGTGAAAAGAGAAGATACTTAACGACACTGAGAACAGAGGACTTAATAAGCTAGCTATAGAGCTATGTTGGTATAGTATCGGTGAAAAGGAGACTGAAATTAATCAATTACATGACAGAGCTGCACCCAACCACTTTAGCTCAAAGAACATTTCCTTTTGTCTTTTTACCATGGGTTAAACGCATCCACAAAGAACAGTACTAACATGACATGAACAACTAAACAAGTTGCACACCGACTGATTCCACAGTTAGCCATATTTGTTTCTGATTCCCATCAGACACCAAAACGAAGAAAAATAAAATGCTTACCAATAATAGTGATTTGCACTCTTTCGCTGCCTGGTACTACATCAGAGGGGAATGTGAAATTCAGACTTTCTGTAAGACTACTTCTTCTGGACAGGTCCAAAAGAAGTGCCTGTGAATGAAATTGTTCTATTCCTTCTGCCTATTAAAAACAAAACAGTTCAAGTGCAAATTGAGTTTACTTTCCAGTAGAACGTTGCATGTGAAGTGGTAGCCAACTCAAAAGCAAATAAACCAGGCCCATCCTACAGGCTGCTCACCCTTTACAATTTCATTATCACAATACATTACAAATGATCACGTGTACTGGGATGGTTTCTTATAGATAGATCTATGGGATATCAAATGCCTTTAGGAAGGTGCAAAAGAAAACTCGAACACCTCATGACCTTTTTTTCACCACCTTGCCAATGCCACTGCAAAATACGGTAAGAGCTGTGTCAGGGGGTAATGATGCCAGTTCAAGTGTGTGATGTTGTGAGACTGTTTGCAGCAACAACAGAACAGGGCCATTATGTTATCAAGCAATGATAGTGCAGATATCCTTTTATCTCTACCCTAATATGTCTGGCATAGTGGCTGAAATCCTATACTAACATACTGTATAGAGTAGGTCCATTGAATCAGATGAGACAACTATTCCATAAGTTCCACCGATCCAATGGACCTACTCCAGTAACAACTTACTACTGGATTTCACCCACCGAGTTATGTGACAGAGAAAGAGGACTTGCAATTCATGCCTTGATGAACTTCCCATAAATGTTTAAATTAATGATCAAACTGGCACTCAGTTTAACAAAGAGGTTCATCTATCCAACATACAGTACAGGTTTCGCCTAAATACAACAGCTTTAAAATTACCTTCACTAATACTTTCTGGAGGAGAGCATCAGAAGCAACGGGGGATATTGCTGTCACTCTGATGGGAATCTCTCCGATTTGCTTTGGTTTAATTGGAAAGATGACGGTCTTCCCATCTTCACTTGGAACCCATACTGAACGTTGGTTTCCCATGGCATTGATAACATTCGAAACGGTAAGAATTTCAAACGTGTCACTTGTATCTAGGGTCACTGTCACCTATAAAGCAAAATAATAATAATAATGTTTTTCCACTTGACAGCATTTCAACAAATTTCCACGTCTTTTTGCTGTACTGTGTTCCCAAGAAACCCAGAAAAACTCCCACACAGATGTAAGTATTAGAGATTCCTGGCCTGCATATGTCAATTTCAGAGTGTTTAGCAACACCCGAAAAAAATAAAAACAAGAAAGGAGAGAAAATGGGCAATTGGGAACAAAGGGAACTGAAAAGTGAGAACAGAAGGGAGCTAAGAGTATTTGCAAATAAAAACAAAGTCTCTCTGACAGTAAAAAGAATATTGGGTGGCATCTGTGACCTCTTAAGGACAGCCAAAGTTCAAATGTTTAAAGCACAGGGCAGTGATCACAGGCACCCAATGACTAAGCCACTCAGAAATATTATTTATTCATTTTATGTACGTTTATAGACATGCATATACTCAAATGTAATTACATTCACAAGAACGGGGAAGTTTAGAATTAGAGACATTATTTTATTGTTCCATTACAAAAGGACATTTATGATAGACATTTGACTTCCTTTTCAGAAGGAAATCCCAGAGGTCCATTTCTCAAAAACTCAATGTTTTATTAAACTTGATGGATTTCATATATTTGGAAGATGACAGCTTTATTATTCTATGAATTGCCAAAAAGATAAACATTTTTATCCCACAATAATCTAGTTTACATCATAATTATAAACTTCAAATAGGAATTATAAGCATCAATATCTTTTTACACTATTTAATGGGTATTAACTGTGTAAGTATTTAATGGGTATTAACTGTATAAGTATATTAAGGCAGAGGCAGAGGCAGAGGAACTAAGGACCAAAGTGCTAACATGTGCTAGATGTTGGAGAAAGCCAGCAAGTTCCAGAAAAACATCTACTTCTGCTTCATTGACTATGCAAAAGCCTTTGACTGTGTGGACCACAGCAAACTATAGCAAGTCCTTAAAGAAAAGGGAGTGCCTGACCGCCTTATCTCTCTCCTGAGAAATCTATACGTGGGAGCGGAAGCAATAGTTTGAACTGGATATGGAACAACTTATTGGTTCAAAATTGGGAAAGGAGTGTGACAAAGCTGTATATTGTCTCCCTGCTTATTTCACCTATATGCAGAATACATCATGCGAAAGGCTGTACTGCAGGAATCCCAAGCCGAAATTAAGACTGCCGGAAGAAATATCAACAACCTTCGACATGCAGATGATACCACTCTGATGGCAGAAAGTGAGGAGGAATTAAAGAACCTCTTAATGAGGGTGAAAGAGGAGAGCGCAAAAAACGGTCTGAAGCTCAACATAAAAAAAAACCCCTAAGATCATAGCCACTGGTCCCCTCACCTCCTGGCAGATAGAAGGGGAAGAGATGGAGGCAGTGACAGATATTACTTTCTTGGGCTCCATGATCACTGCAGATGGTGACAGCAGCCATGAAATTAAAAGACACCTGCTTCTTGGGAGGAAACCGATGACAAACCTAGACAGCATCTTAAAAAGCAAAGACATCACCTTGCCAACAAAGGTCTGCATAATCAAAGCTATGGTTTTTCCAGTAGTGATGTATGGAAGTGAGAGCTGGACCATAGAGAAGGCTGACACCAAAGAATTTATGCTTTTGAATTGTGGTGCTGGAGGAGGCTCTTGAGAGTCCCCTGGACTGCAAGGAGAACAAACCTATCCATCTTGTAGGAAATCAATCCTGACTGCTCACTGGAAGGACAGATCCTGAAGGAGGCTCCAATACTTTGGCTGTCTCATGAGAAGAGAAGACTTCCTGGAAAAAACCCTGATGTTGGGAAAGTGTGAAGGCAAGAGGAGAAGGGGACGTCAGAAGACGAGATGGTTGGACTGTGTCATTGAAGCTACCAACATGAATTTGACCCAACTGAGAGGCAGTGAAAGACAGGAGGGCCTAACGTGCTTTGGTCCATGGGGTCACGAAGAGTCGGACATGACTTAACAACTAAACAACAACAATAAACTGTATAAGTGAACATAAGAGTTTTGTCTCATTCAAAATATGAGTTATAATACTAGATGCATGTAAATTGTTTTCTAATTTCACATTATTGCAATTTATTTTCATAATACCACATTATTGGGATCAATAACTACTACTTGAACTATTAAAAAATATTCACACTCTGAGATGTATCCAATGATGGGTTGACTTGCCCAAGCTGGAGCACTCCATTTTTACTAATGCCAGCAAACTATGGCAGCAACATGTTGTTCTATCCTGGAGGGATCCCAAGATTTGAGGAGGAGCTTTCCCAGGACAGAGGACTTAAATGAGACCAGTGAATGCTAGGTCTCCTAATTTGTGTGTAAGCTGAAACATAGTCTGTTACGGCAAATACACATTAGATCCAGCGCTCTGTGTTATATCAAAACTTCTCTCTGGTCTCCAAAATCCACTTTGTCTATTTTTGCCCATCCTCACTCATACAATACAATCCTATGCAGGTTTACTTAGGAGTAATTTGTAGTAATTAGGAGTAATTTGCAGCCCACTCTAAGTGTGCAAGTATGTCTAGGACTATATTTTAGGAAAACCAAATTGGAATCCATACAGAGTCAAGGGAGTATACTTCCACTCGGACAACAAGACTTCCCCTTCTTTCCTATGTGTCCTTGGTCTTCCTTCCCAAACCTTTGGTATGTATGGAAGCAGTTGCAGAGGGAGTGGAAATGTCTTCTGGCAGTTAAATTCAACCCACTAGTGCAGTGGCTCCCAAATTTGGGTCCCCGGGCGTTCTTGGACTAAAATTCCCAGAAGTCTTCACCACTAGCTATGCCGGCCAGCATTTTTGGGAATTGTAGTCCAAGACCTTTTGGGGACCCAAGACTGGGAACCACAACATTAGCAGATAGACCCCATTTAATACAATCCAATATATAATAATGCAAAATCTGTGTCACCTATGACCTATGACACAAAGAACCTAAAAGGATAAATTCTACTAACTGCCCCGGAAAACAATTGCCAGAAGGGCAGCCATCTCAATCTATTGTAACAAAAATAGCAAAGCAATCTATGACATATTGAAGGTAAAAGACGTTTAAGATACCCCAAGATGTTTTGTTAGTTTCAACTGAGAAATGTTAAGCTACAATTGATAATAATAAAGAAAGAACAATTACAAAACAGATTAAAAACAAATAAAGGTTTTAATATATTTACCTCAGTGCCTTCTTTTAAATAATTCAATATATTTACTTCCAGTATAAATTGCTCTCCTCTTGTAACACTAGGAGGGAAGTTTAAAGAAACAAAAAAAGGCTGGAAGACCTGCAACTGAAAAAGAAAAGCGACACAACAGTGACCCCTTCTGGTGCACAATTTAGCTACGCTAGACGATACAATAAAGACCATTTCTGGTTAGAGCTTTCGACAGACCTTGACATAAGAACGCACAATCCTCCTTCACCCCACATTCACCAGGATTCAATTGACCCAAAATCTGGTAAAAGGTTGCAGTGCACTGAAGGCCTCTAAGGTAATGAGGGCAACATCCACCTGGCAGACTAGGCATGTTCTGTAATTCTACAGGTAAGGCCACTTGAAGCACCTCAGCATGGAGGCAGGAAGGTTGCTTATTTATTGGTTGGCTGATCTACACCCCTGCTTTCTTCCAGTAAGATCAAGGTAAATGGGTCTTCTCCTCGCCACGTTATCCTCATGAAAATTGTTGTGATGCAGGTAAGCTTGCTCTGTATTTGACTCCTAAACCTTGCAGAGGTGCACTTTGAAGCATTTCTTTAAGGCAGGGGTGTCCAACCTTTCACCTTCCCTGGGCCACATTAGAAGACGAAAATTTGGTTTGGGCTGCACATACATTTGGTTTGGGCCGCATGGGGAGCAGCCCTAGCTGTCCTCCGCAGCCCCGCTCCAAGCGCACTTACCGGCAGCTGTGATCTCAGACAGCAGAGGCTGCCAGCTTCAACTCCGGCGGCTTTATGGGGCCGGGAGGGGGTCCACCTATTGATGGGGATGGCACAATGAAGTCACACAGCCCCCCTCTCTCCTCCCCTCCTGCTCCTTCCTTCCTTCCCTCTCTCCCCCTGTACTGTTGTGACATGCCCTGGCCACATTCCGGCTACAAGTGGCAGCAGTGTAACTTAAAACTGGAATTTATTTAAAAATAAAAAATTGCACTGGGCCACATTATGCGCTGACCTGGGCCGCATGCGGCCCTCAGGCCGCAGGTTGGACAAGCCTGCTTTAAGGCTTTTGTGAAGTATGAGTTACCACCTACCATTAACAAGAATTCACTGCTACCGATTGTATAAGAACTAGACTCCAGTTCAAGAGGGGAAAAAAATGATGCTTCAAGCATATTTTGATGAAAACAGTCATGATTGTGATACAACAAGTATGTATACCAAACAGGCATCATCTTTTTGACCTGACAGCTGCAACACAAACATGCAATGATGGATCAAGACTCCTCACTGTCTGAGGAGGAACAACAAAAGACGTCTGCCCACAAGACATCAAGACACATGGTACTCAAGGCCGACAACTTTATGTTAGCAAAATAACTTTTAAAAATTCTACTAATGCCTTTCCCTGGTGTTAAAACAGTACATACTTGTTTGCCCTTTCAAACTAGCCAAGATCTAGCCGCCTTACTCTTTCTAATGGCAGGGCCAGCTGTGGCCTCAAAGGCAGTGGAATTCCAGTTCCTGCAACACTGCACAACGACCCACTAGATTATTCCAGATTTCACAGCTGACTCACCGGCTTTGCTCTGGGTTTCTCACAAATGTACCCACCTATTTACTAATCTACTCCAAAACCACTAATTGGCATCTTTAATAGGTACAAAAGATAATGAGAACATGCAGTAGTTTTGCCACGTATTTTCAAACACAACTTTCCTAATCAGCCAATGCATTAAAAAAGAAAAAGGGTCATCATGTGGCTGGCTGAGCAAGACAGTTGTGATATTTAGAAAAAGAAGAAAGTCTAACTATACACAAAGATGTCAGTTTAAACATCTGGATCATGCCATGTTCACAAGAAACATCCAATGGGAAAAGATTCCATATGAAATTTTTTTAAAGCTGTACCACAGCAAAGACGCTTAATTAGTGCCAGATGCAACTCATTCCTATAAACGGTTAACTTTTTAGCAGTTTGCCTGTGTAATGCTCAGTTAGATGTTCCTATAAAAACATTCTTCGTGTGTGATAGCATATAACATATTTTTACCATATGGAACGCTCAATAGGAATTGAACAATCCAACAGTGTACAGTGGGGAAATCAGCCACTATGAGAGCTGAAACGGAATCTTGGCTTTGGATTTATTAAAAACTACTCCACTGTAGCCAAATATATACTTTCATAAAAGTCTGAAGTGGCCAAGTTTCAATCTGTCTCTACCTACTTTTTTTTAAAAGAAAGGAATAATATTGACCTTAATCTCATATGAACTAGAAATAAAATCGAAGATCCAAATCTGAATTCCTGAATGAGGTGATACTCATAATTAAAAGTTTAATTTCATATATAATTGTCAGATACCTGGAGCCAAATTACAACTCTTTCTTTCTCGCTGATTATCATCACACTATTATATCAGTAATTTGAACACTAGACACTGCTCAAATTACTGATATGTATTTATTTTAAATATTCATAAACGCCTTTCTCTGAAAAAAAAAACCAAAAAGGGGAAACAAGAAAGCCTGTTGCTAGCAGACAGCAAGATCCAGTCCCTGTTTCCTATCATATGATCCTGCTTATCTACTCAGTTGTTCCAAGGTCTTGATCTGCAACATGCCATGGGAAGGATGGTTGTTGGAGATGCAGGAAAGGACCTTCTCCATAACTGTGCCCAGATTATCCAAATGCTTGTCCCAGAACATCTCTTGGCTTCTCCCCCGCTGAACATCCAAGTAAAAAATTTTGAGCAGGCTGGTTTTTAAGTAATTACAGTGCTGTCACTATTTTTTAAATCTACTTTTCTCCTCTCCTGAATTGGATTTTACTTATCATGTAACATGCTTTCTTTTGTGTACATTAATTGTGCCTTTAGCCTCTTAAATTGGGAGAGAAAGACAAGATCCATCCATCCATCCATCCATCCATCCATCCATCCATCCATCCATCCAACTTATATGCCACCCACACTACCCAAAGGTCTTTAAGCGGCTTACAACAATTTAAATACAGTAAAAACAATTAAAATATATACTCTTAAAAATTGCCATGAGGATCCACAGTTGATATTATTTCAATTAATGAAGCCACAGACTTGTGGGCTCCCTCACAGCTCACCCATGATTTTCTCTTTCTGAGCTAGAAGCACCTAAGCAGCTAGCATTTCTGCTGCAGAAAGGAACCCCTGCAAAATTACAATATGCCAAGGTGTCCTCTACAGCAGTGGTCCCCAACCTTGGGCCTCCAGATGTTCTAGGACTCCAACTCACAGAAGCCTTCACCACCACCATTCCTGGCCAGGATTTCTGGGAGATGAAGTCCAAGAACATCTGGAGACCCACGGTTGGAGAGCACTGCTCTATAGCACTCTCCTACTGAGCGGCTGGGGGTGGCACAGGTTGGGGAGGACTGTTGGAAATCTCCCAAGAACATCAGCAAGAGAGAACATTTGTGAGACAGGAAAAATTCTCCTCATCTTTTCCACCCTGTTGGCTGGTGCCTCTCTCAGTCTGAATGAGAAGGTGCACCTACAGTCACGGAAGCTTCAGCTGTTCTCCTGTTTAGTACTAACTGGTGTGCTTGGCAGATTCCTTTTTGTTTATTGCAAGCTTTTTAGATGGATCTCATTGATATGGATAGCAGGACCATGTAAAGATACAATTAAAACATTTATATAATGAAGGCTCCAAACATGTCATTGTGAAAGAAAAGCAAATTCTTTAGTGTGGGAGGCTAAAATCTCACAAGCCATTGTGCTGGGATGGGAGCAGAAACAGTACTGAAGGTCGAACTTCCAAAGTGCCCAGCCTCCAAGTAACAAGACAATACAGGATTGCAACTTTAGCAACAAACACTTCACAGGGCAGCTGCAAGACTAACCTGTTTTAGAATACTATACACAGATGTGGAAGTGAAATCTCATTACTTATGCCTCCCTAAGAGCACAACCGACATTCCTTTCTCAGAGAGGAGGGAAACGGGGTCCCAGAACAACCATTGCCATTGGAGAATAAAACCCCTGGCTTATGAATATGCAAGACAACTAAAAGTAATCTTCATTTTGAACTCTGCTTTTTTAATTTGATGCAATAATACCTTCTCATCTGATTTCTTAAAACTTGAGTGCCATCTAGAGACTTTACATACTTCCTGCAGTCTTTTGTTTGCTCTTTCCCTTCACCTGATCCTTCTGAAGCAATCTCCCTCCAAAAGGAAGGGCGGACTACAACACACACTGCATTTACTGTACTCTGCCCAAGTAAGTCTTTTTTTACACAGGTCTATTTCTGAATTTGGTTCTCCACCATGCTCTACTCCCCTCTGTGGCTTGAAGAGCTGCTGAGGGTGGGGGAAGTTCTGGGCCTCCTGTTGTCTTCCTACTTCTTCACTCGTGGCCAACTCCATGTTGACATGATTTAGCCACATCTGCTATGATGCAGATGTGTAGCCTAAGCAAATATGACTTCCCACCCCCACCCGAAGTAACAAACCTCTGCGTCTAAGGAAAAGTAGCTTCCAAAGACAATGGCCCTCAGTGGCAACACGTCGGGGAAAGGATGTTCAATAGTAAATTTCTACTGTAACTTCCACACACACAGCATTTCCTCATCACCTGTTGACTTTAATCCCTGCTAGAGATGGTAAGCACTACTGGACTTAACTAGGGTCCAGCCCCTGGGGCCAGACCGTCCACTCATGCATCCACCAGCGAGTTGGCAGCCTCAGTCAGCTTTACAATCACTCCCGGGGCACCGCTCTCTTTCCGCTCATCTAGCCAACTCCCCATCCCCTCCACCACCCTCTCACCACAAAGATGTGCACTAAACACAAGAAAAAATCAGTATATTATCCTAGAGGTGCTTCAAGCATGCTCATCCCAGCTGCTTACTGAAACATGTAGTGGTGTCTCGCTTAACGAGCGCACCGTTTAACGACAAATCTGCACAGCGACACGTTTTTTGCAATTGCTAATGCGATCGCATTGCGATGTTTAGAAAATAGCTGATTGGTGGTTTCAAATGGCTGCCGAATCAGCAAAATGGCCGCCCGCAGCTTTTTTGCACCCTCCCCTCACTTACCGGGCAGCGAAAATGGCGGCCGGATGGGGGAATCTTCACTTACCAGTGAGTTTTTCCCCCATAGGAACGCATTAAACAGAGTTTAATGCGTTCCTATGGCGATCCCCCCCCGCATAGCGACGAATCCAGATAGCGACGTTAATCCTGGAACGGATTAATGTCGCTATGCGGGGCACCTCTGTACATAAGTTAGCCTTTAACCACATATATGCAGAGAAGACGTGGTGGCACTGCAGGCTAAACCGCAGAAGCCTTTGTGTGCTGCAGGGTCAGAAGACCAGCAGTCGTAAGATCAAATCCACGTGACAGAGTGAGCTCCCGTTGCTTTGTCCCAGCTCCTCGCCAACCTAGCAGTTCGAAAGCATGTAAATGCGAGTAGATACCTTCCCTTGGTGGGAAGGTAAACAGCGTTCTGTGTATAGCCGCGCTGGCCACATGACAACGGAAACTGTCTTCGGACAAACGCTGGCTCTATGGCTTGGAAACGGGGATGAGCACCGCCCCCTAGAGTCGAACATGACTGACTAAAATGTCAAGGGGAACCTTTACCTTTACCTTATGAAGAGAAGAAACCCTTCGCCTTCTGTTCCTGTTGTTTTGAATCAGTTTCATAATGTTTACAGTATTTAAATTCTGGTTTTTGTTTTAATAATTTCTATAAATTACCCTGAAATCAAAGTTTGATGAAAGGCAATACAAATGTTTCAAATAAATAAATGTACTTGTATAAAGAGCCATTGTGCAGGTTTCTGGTCTTGAAGATGAGGGTCAGTTTAGGAGCTAGATGGCTGAAAGCTTTTAACATAAAGCAAACCAGACTACTGCAATCAGATCAGAATTTAAAAAAAAATAGGTTGTTACCTCAATGGGCATTTTCATCACTCCCAGTCCAAGGTTTTCAGATATTATAAATGCACTAGCTACCCAGGAAGTAATAGTATCAGGAACAGTGACATTTAATGTTGCTTCAGTTGATCTATAGATGGAAAGAAGATAGAAGCATAATTTTAAAAAAACAAATGGATAACTATCAGTACTGTAGATCCAGGCTGATCTTCTTGCCAGATCAATTTCAAGAAGAGTAACAAAGGTACAAGTAAGAGTCAAGCATTCAGTTTCTACAAGGGCTGTAAGGAGCAATTCATACCACATGGGGCAAGGCATGTAAACACATACACTTCAAACATATACACATGTAAAACAGTAAGAAGTGTGAAGCAAAAGTACATTTTTTTTACATATTTTACAGATCCAACTGACATAAAGTAAGGAATGCTAGGTCCTTAATAGAAATCCACCACATGTTTATAGACCTTGCCTTCCTGCTTCAGACTTTATAATGCCGTGTCACTCAACATTGGTATACAACCAGCAAATATGAAGTGTACTTTTAATTCCCTCTGACACAGGAACATACCGCCTGTCTATAGCTCTCACTTTTCAAGAGTAGCATCTTTTGCATTCAACCTTGCGCATTTATGGTTGGCAAGGACGGACCCTCTTTAGGACAAAAGCAAAGGAGATGTTTTCCCCACCAACCAGCAGGAGTTGGCACTCAGGATTGTTTCTAACCCCTAACAAGCCAGGGAAATCATCCTAAAACAAAGGATGGGTTGGGAGACAAAACTAACCAGAGTGCTTGCTCTTGCCGGTTTCGAACAGACCATGATTGGAAGATTTTTGGCCTTCTTAGTTACTTCCACTTATAGTGGGATTGTCTGATTACCAGTAAGCGCCAGCACTCTGGCTCATTCACAGTAAGCCAGAACTTTAAAGACTGGTTAAAGTCACACCTGGAGAGGGAAATTGTTCATAGGGGACATGGAAGCTTCCTAAAAGAGAGATGTCCTCCTATCAACATCACCAGTGAGAGATTCTTCCCCACTCTAGCACTGTTGGCAATGAGTTTCCCTACATGGAAATGTCATCTGCATGACAATATACTGTAGTAGTAAGACTGAAATGGTCCTAGATTATAGAGACAATTCATTTGATCTGGGCCATAAATGAACATGAGAAAAAGTATCCACATGCACCCATTATTTTCAGTGGTAATGTTCAGGCAACAAGTTAAGATATCCAGATAATAACTAGCTACATTTAGATAATATCGTACTACTTTGGATCAATAACTGGAATGCACATTTCAAACACTTTCATGTAGGAAAACAGGGACAGAGAAGCAGTCCTTTAATGCATTGAATAGGCATGTGTGAAACATGCCGTATACATGAAGTTTGAAGTCTGACACTGTTGCTTCCAGTGGAGGTGTTAAACTTCTGTTACTATGCTCAATGGGATGTAAAAGTTTTAACAGTTCGTGTTTATAGCTTTGACTAAATCTTGTCAGATTTATTTAGATCTTTCTCCTACACCCTTTGTAAGATGCAAGTTTAAAGCCTCTGCAAATAAGTCTTCATGTGCTTCCACGTCTCACATGAGGACCTAACCTTTATACCGTATTGTCTATGACAATATGTTTTCATTAAAAAATATATCCAATGATCACTGCTTAAAATTAATAATAATGTAACTAATTATTATCAACTGTTAATTTAATTAATAAGTAAACAATAATTTTCAAAGGACGTTTCACAGATATACATTCATCATCACCTTGTAAGACAATGCAATTTTTACCTTGTTGTGATTTCTTGCCAAATCCACGTTTCTGGAAAATTTGTCCTTACATAGAGATTGCCAGCACCAGCAGGCACTACTGTATTTTCCATGTGATGCATAAAATCATCATATGCAACAGAATCTGAAAAATCTCCATATGCTGTGGAGAGAGAAAAAACTATTTTAACATTAGGCTAAATTGTTTTTTAACAACCTTAAATTCAGATGGATCTAAATTTCACTGTTTGGGCACTAAAGAGCTTCTTCCATCCAGAAGCTTCCTTCAGCCTATTTCCCTTTCCCATTGCGGCCCTTAACTTGATTTGTTTCTGTGACGGCTGCGATGACGTCACCTGCCTATCAATGTTATGCTGGAGCTCATCTGCCTATAGCAGGGCAGGAGGTGGGACTCCAGGAGGTGGAGCTATGTATATAAGGGGAGTGTGAATGTTGTGTGGGGATTGATTGAGCTAGGATGAGAAGATAGAGAAGGAGAGTTTCAGTTTGAGTTAGGGCATGTATGTTATGAAGTACTGTGTTAGACAAGGTCTGAGTGATAGAGTGTCTGAAGGGATTCTTTATTTTATTGATTGACTTATTCAGTTCATATGTTGATTTACTATATATTAAGTTGTACCAATAAACAATAATTTTTATTTTTAAAATCCATACCTTTGTCTGAGGAGTCAGATATATGTGTGTGGTTGGTGGCAGCGTGATAAGGGAAAGAAAGTGTGAAGTGGCGTCCCCTCTGTGACGTATGAGGAGGCGGCCACAGTTTCATTGTTTTAGAGTCTCCCAAACCCACTGAAGCAGACGTCTAGAGGGCCCTGGATAATACAGGGAAAGAGGGAAAGTCCCTTCCAGCACTTCTGGCAGCAGAAACCAAGCCTGGATCTACACAACTATGCTTACAGCAAAACTGGGCAGAGCATGGCCCTCTATCAATTTCTGCATCCCAGCTTCCAGGATTCCTCACCATTAGCTGTGCTGGGTAGGAATTATGGGAGTCACTGTCAACAACATCAGAAGTGCTAATCTTTGCACATCCCCAATTCAATGTATGTCCAGCAGTTTTACTACACTGTAACATAGTTCACATTACTTTGATTGCCATTTTCTTCGTGTTCTGCATATCACAACCCACAAGCAAGGTATTAATTACTTGATCTCTATATACTTACAATCATAATCTTCGTGCTCTGAAAAGCTGGCATCAGTCCACACCCACAGATTACATTTCTGAACACAATGTGCAAAAAGATCTTTTAATTTCAAAATATACAACATATGAATATGTTTCCCCATTAACACTGTACTACTTTATACCATATTTTAGAGCATATATGTATATATAAACAAAAAACAAGAGCCCGAAAAATCCACAACAACCAAAAACCATTAAGCTTAGAAGAAAAAAGCATCCCAACACTATAATGTCTAGTACTGATAAAGAATTGAGTTGTCCTAAGTCAGACATCATTAGGACACACACACAAATTTTATTAATATTATTTTCGACTTTAATATTTTCATAAATTTAGTATCTTCAGATATCAAAACAACTGAAAAAGAGGAAATTGTCATATACATTTTAGAGCTGTACCTGAAAAACTCCGTAGGAATTTCTGGCTTCACCATAATGGAGTGTTGTGCTGTACAGACCTAGCTCGTGTGCTATCTAAACAAAAAACACCAAGTAGTTTTTCATTTTTTGAACAAGCACAATGTTAACAATGTTATTTGCCTCCCCCCTTGAAGGCTTAGTGATGGTTAAGTATTTAAAGCAGACTTTAACCATACAAACAAATCATTTCCCCAACATGTATGCACATACACACATTCATGCATCTGTCCATGCATGCACACAAACACAGGCCAATGTGTTGCTGATTAATTTAAAAACTGGCCTGAACTATGGGACAACAAACAGCTTACCTTGAAGGAAACCATACATATTGACTGCATTCTAAGCAGCATCTACATACCAGTGTAGCACAAGTGAAGCAATGGAAATAATTGCCCCTTACAATGATGGTTTTCCCCCCTCAGAAAAAAAACCACATATTGGAGAGGTCTAAGGGAAAGGGCAGCAAGAATTGTAAGAAACTGAGGCTGCAACTACACTGGAAAAAATGTGAGAAATCCTACAGGTTTGGGCTGGGATGGTTTGCTTTCTCTCCCTCCCCCCCTCGCCCCATTTACTACATAATGCAAAGAGAAATGCAAATCAGTTTGTAGTCCCTACCCTATCCATAGTTTTTCCCCTCCACTGATTGGGCTTCTCCTTTAAAAAATAAAAACCAGCTCTATTCACATCAACCAGTTCAGATAAGTGATCGCCTGGACCAATGCAGAAAAGGGAAGACAAGCTGTGAATGAGCACATATACCCCTTCTTCTTATTTTACCTTGCGAGGGAGGACAAGACATGCATAAACATAAACACACACATACAACTTCCCCCTCAACTCTTTTTTTTGTTACAGCTCCTTCTCTCCACGAGTACAGAGAAGGAAGCCAGCACACACTCAGGGGATAGTAGGAGCACAGCTCAGTCTGCAAGATTTTTTCCCTTTTTTTTTTTAAAGCAGGTAAGGGCAAAGCCTTTTTCTTAAGAATTTTTGGCAAAACTAGTAAGATTAGGAAGCCTTGGTAACAGCTAGTTAGCAGTTCCCTTTTAATAGTGCCACCTGCTGGTCTACTGCAAACAAGGTGTTAATATGGCTTTCTCTCTCTCCCGGTGTGGACAGTTAAGGCAGAGAGATCTGGGAAACCTTAATTCCCCAATGGGACTTTACAGTGAACAAATATATGTGAATTCACACATCCCTTAAGTCACGCCTTAAGTCTAGTACAAATAATCCAGATTGTTACCAATTAATTCAATTGGTTGGTTTTATTGTGAGAATGACAATCAAATCTGGTAGCTGTTTCTGTAATCATCTGAAAGGCATGCAAACAAAAAACTTTCTTCCTCCTCTCAAAAACTTACAGCACGTTCTGTGATGTCACTTCTTTTTCCCAGCAGCTTTGTACTTTTGTCAACAACTAAAAGTCCAATTGATGTTTCAGGTTCTGTCACACTAATTTTGAGGGAGACAGGCTCAGAAGGTCTAGCTTTCTTCTTATTCCAGTGCATATTAATCTGGAGGGGAAATCATAATGGCTTACATTACACTAGAAAGAAAAATTATCTTCCTTCAGATGTCACTTGGTTTGGAGCAACTAAGAATTTGAATTGGTCCTGAAAATGTGGAACAAACATCTAGCAATGGCCTTTTTATTTTCCTGCTTTTTAAAACCTTTGTTGTGCTCTAGCTTCGTACCAGTATAGTTCTATAATATTATTTATTAATTTGTTTGTTTTTACCTCACCTTTTTCCTTAAAAAGTACTCAAAGCAGCTTGCATCATTAAAACACAATATTTAAAAGCCAAAAACAATGTATATTTTAAAAGAATCAAACAAATACAATAGCTAAAATGCCTGGACTGAACTATCATACCTTGGGTGTATCTACTGAGAAGACAAGATGATAATGTTAGGAAAACATGAAGGTACTAGGAAAAGAGAAAGACCTAAGATGAAATGGATTGACACAATTAATCATTGTCATCATCACCTTAGAACTGCAGAGCTGGAAGGGGGCCTGTGAATCATCGAATCCAGCCCCTATCAAGAAGGCACAGTGCGGAATTGAACTCCCAGAAATCTGAACCACTGAACTACACTATGGGAGAGCTGAGCAGAGATGTTAGTACAGAACCTTTTGGAATCTATAGGGTCATCACAGGGTCATCCTAAACTGGAAGCAACTTGATGACACACAACATATAGAAAATCACATAAGTATCATTAACATTAATAACAGAGTTTTATTGGACTGGTTGCATAAATGTCTGAAGACTAAACAAGATACTCAAATAATTATAAGCATCAATAAACAAATCCGCATGTTTCGGTGGCTGCTTTTAATTGTCTCTGGAGTTTCAAGACAGTGAGTTCTCCTCCAGAAAAGTGTAAGTTGTCCTGAAGTCAGTCTTCTTTCAAAGAGGGGGGAAAACTGGCCATGCACAAAACTTTCATTAAAATCAATCCATTAAAATATATTGTGTGATTTTTTAAAAAAAACTTATCTTTGGCAAGATCTCTGTTTTAAAAAATTGGAATTTGTGAATACAGTGGTGCCTCGCTTAACGACTGCTTCGTTTAACGAAGAATTTGCTTAGCGATTGTTTTTTTAGCGATTGGTTTTTTGGGAGCATTTTACGATTCGTTTAACGATGTTCCCTATGGGCAATTTTTGCTTAGCGATCTTCGGGACCATGCCTCGCATAGCGATGACAGTTTGGGTCCCCCTGTTTCGCTTAACAATGTCCATTTTCGCTATATTTAAAGTGTCTTAAAATGTTCAAAAACTGTTTAAAATGCTTGGAATCAGTGCACCTTGTAAAACCTTTGCTAACTTAATTTGGCTTTGTTCTGATTCTTCATTAATGTTTGGTGAATTCCCCCCCCATTGGAATACATTGAAGCCTATTCAATGCATTTCAATGGTTCTGACAGGTCAGTTTTCGCTATTTTTAAAGTGTCTTAAAATGTTCAAAAACTGTTTAAAATGCTTGGAATCCTTAGTGCACCTTGTAAAACCTTTGCTAACTTAATTTGGCTTTGTTCTGACTCTTCGTTAATTTTTGATGATTTTTTTTCTCCCCCCATTGGAATGCATTGACAGCTGTCAAACCTACAGTTCAATGTAGATTTGAGCTAGCGTCTCTCTAAGATGCAAAGGCCAGACTCCTGTTGAAAAAAACTGAATGTGCAATGGTAATGACATGAACAGTTTATATCTACTTATGGCAGAGGTCATCAACCCCCGGTCCACGGCCCACTGCCGGTCCATGGCTTAAGCCCGACTGGGCCATCAAGACAGACCTCTCCCCCCGCACTCCCCCCGGCAAAGGTTGGTCTGCGCATGTCCATACCCCTCAACCGGTCCGTGGTCCGAAAAAGGTTGGGGAACACTGACTTATGGGGTCTCCGCCACACAACTGACCATGCACCAGTAAGCAAAACTGGTTGTGTGACTGACATTCCACCAAAAGGTATAAGCAACTGGTGTGACCACAACTGCATACATCTTCTTTAAACGAGGATTCTGGCTACATTCTTAATTCCTGCAACAGTGGCCTGATGGCCTGCTCTACGAAGCTGTACGAATCAGTAGTCAATACACGCCATCCTAAACATTCTTTTCTGGCATGTATAGAAAACTACTAGCTCGCTCACACTATAAGGTGGCCATGCCACAAGTTCTAGGAACACATTTTCATATAGGAAATCCTTTCAAAGCTTAAAACTAATACGCTAGCAATTAAATAAATTTTGGCTTCTGTAAAAGTTCACTTTCTAATTCCATACAGGAGAAAGTACTACACGCTTACCTGGTTTTCAAAAACAGGCTCAACAGGAACACTGAGAGCATCACTTATTACTTCCCCGTTGTCACTCACATAGTAGGCAACTATAAATGCTGTAGGAGCCCAGGACTTCTCTGGTGTTAAAGTAAATCTTGTAAAGCTTTTCTTTTTCCCTACAGCCACAATTTGTTCTTTAGACATCACCTGAGTGACAAAAACATTATTGAATCCATCTGGCAGCCTATTGCTGCTGAAACATTCACGTCACACAATTTAATTGTTTTTTAAAGCACCTAAAGTATATGAGATGGTGTACTGAAGTAACACATTTTTAACCTAAAAATTACTTCTTTAGAAGAAAAATGTGCCCAGTGACTGTGGAAAGGACTGGATAAAAATTGGCCATAAGAAAACAAATAATGCATTTGAACTCGAAATCAAAGCGTTTGGGTTTGTTTGTTTTTTAAGTGAGAAAAATAATGTCTTTTTTGTGGAGTTTTATTCATTATTTAGCACGGAAGATTTTGCTGACCTCCCCATGTTTATTAGCACTGAATCTGCATATTAAAAATTTTAAATAATTGAGAACTACCATGTAGTTGATCTCTTGCACAGGTTTGTTACTTTGAATATTCAGTTCCAAAGGTGTTCCAACCTAGGGGGGAAAAATAAGACCTGAATAAGAATGACTGTTATGATACAATACATTGCCTGTAAGTTTAGAAACGGATGAATTTGTTCTTGGAAAGCACAAGTTACCTTTACATCTTGACTTGTTTTTTTGATCTGGAGATAAGTCATGCTTTCAGAGTAGAATATGTCATGTATGATTACCGAAGCATGACTTTTCAGAAATTTGGCCTAGAAATGAAAAAGAGAGAGGAGGAGAAGAAGAAAGGACAAGTACTCAAGTCTATCATAAAAAAAGAAAGGAAGGTTTATGAATCTTTCACAAATGACATAATGAGATTTTCACCTACTTTCTCATAGAAGGAAAGAAAAATACGCACTAGAAGATATGCTGCTATTTTATAATGTCAGGATGAAAAGGAATACCAAAACACCAAAAGGTGGGGATAAACAGTATCTTAGCGTTTCTAAAGTAACTAAATTTCAGGTTGTTTTCCAAAAGCTGTTTCAGTAAGTAGTCCAGGGCCATATGGTTCACTCTTCTTTTCTGATGGTCATACAATGTAATCTTTGAGCAAACCAAACTGTCCCCAGAGCTAATCCTACTCATATCTTTCTGAGCCCCTGTCAGGGCTTCTAATTTTTGTTTGGTGCAGGTAGAATTGCTCTGTTTTGGTCCGTTTCCAGCTTCTTTGATCACTGGGTACAGACCAAAAACAAGTTTTTCCAGCAGGCTCCCTCCAACTGGAATTTCCTGTATCATGAAGTGGCTTAAGTGAGCAACTTCAAGATACTGGCAAATTGAAAACTTCCTCTGTTCCTCAGCAGTGGGGCAGGGGGAGTGAAATTCCTTTTAAGACACTGGTGAACAATCATTGAGGTATGGCATAACTTTTTTTAAAAGAAGGAAAAATAGTATTTTCTTTGCGTTCTCCAAAAGACCCATTGAGAAACTGCCCACAGCTAAATCCTGAAGTGGGTCGCTTATTAAGCCACTTCAAAATACCAAAAGGAGCAGGACAAAATAGGGTTGCTTGACCTCCAATATGCTATATGGAAGTGATGAGCACACCAAAAAGCATACTGCACCTCCACCTGACCCAAAGCAACCCTATTTAATCTGCAACAGTCTGATCCAAAAGAGCCAGTGAAGATGAGCCCTCAGTTAGTAATTAAACTGAAATGTGATCCATTAAACTGGTCTGCCCCCACTGGCTACTGAATCCAGCTGGTTTCCAGGAGACAATGGGAGGGCTACTGGCTGATCTGTTTGGAGCTCCTGTCGAAGCTCAGTTCACTGAATGGTATGCCACAGCGACCCGGGCAGCTGACATGATCACACCCAAACACACTCTCCACTGGTTGTTGTGGGTTTTTTTTGGGGGGGGGGCTCTGGCTGTGTTCTGAAGGTTGTTCTTCCTAATGTTTCACCAGTCTCTGTGGCCGGCATCTTCAGAGGACAGCACTCTCCACTGTTCAGCCCACTCTGCCCCATGATATTCTCAAGAACTATGGGCAATGGAGTAAAATAGGAGAAGGCTAGAGAGTATCTGGAGGCGGCCACCGACAGATCTTAAACTAAGGCTACTCAACAGTCGTGAAAGCTGCTCAAAGATCTTTTTACGGATAACCATCAGGTGGAATTATTCTGCACTGTTCGCGATTTATCTAGGGCTGGTCAAGATGGGCCTCCAGTAGTCTCGCCTGTGATAGTTTGCAGCATTTTTAAAAAAACAAAGTGGACGCTATCTGCTGGGACCTAGTACGCCATACTTTGGCAGTAGATCAGGTTGAGATGTCCACTGCACCAGCTTGTCTGGTAATATTACATCAGCTTCAGCCTGTTTCATCATCTGAGGTTGACAAGGTGCTAAGATCGCTGCAGGGCCACCGCAACCTCCCTAGAGCCTCGCCCAGCCTGGCTTTTAAAAGCTGCCAGGACGATAACAACCGAATGGGCCACTTCTACCATTAATGTGTCCCTCCTTTTAAATGTTCTAATTGCTTTAAATGTTTTAAAAATGTTTTATTTTTTATGTATATTTATGTCTTGAGTTTACTGTTTATTTGTATTTTATTATTTCCATTTTTGTGATATTTATATGCTGTAAATTGCCCTGAGCGGCCTCTACCAAGTATCCTCCAGATACACTGGATGGCAACTCCTATCATGGCAAGCCAGCTGAGTGGTAAAGTCCGGGCGGCAGTTGTTGTTGATGATGATTTTGTTATGTGCGTCCAGGCTAGTAATCGAGTCTTGCTTCCTCACGGCATTGCTCTCGGTTTCCCTAACACACCCAAACCCCTTTCCTATAAAGTTTGCACGTAGGAACAGATGGCAGCAGGGAGAAATAAAGCTTTGCTTTGAAACAATATGACAAGAAAAGCATACCTTGACACTCAGTTTTGTTGTATTCACTTCAATGGGAAACTCAATCTGAATAACGCCATCTTCTGGAACGGGATAAGTTAAGTTCTGAGCTGCCTCATTCATCTGTGATTCATTTCCCTTATCCTCCATGAAATAAATCCCTCTTTTTGAGGGTTCAAAAGTGACCATGACCTTGTTCCTTCTTTCCACAGAGGTCAGTGGCTTGGCGTCAAACCGTGCTACTTTCAGCTGAAAGTAATACAAAAACATGTCCATAAATCAAATCAAAACCTTCAGAACTGGCTAACTTGATTCTAATTACAACAATAATATTTATGTTCCACTCGCAAGTCTTGAAATGTCAAAAGTGCATCTAGCCCTTGCCACTTGTATCACTGAGCCACAAAACATACTTAATGAATTAGACAATGCCATCATCAACCTTTTCAAAAGACACCTTTGACACACTTTTAAAACATAACTATCTACATTATGCATATTTCATTAGCCATGTCTTTTGCAATAATATTGATAATAGGAAAAAATAATGGAGTAACTCACTGTGGCAATAAAACTCAGAGAAGGCTTGAGGATTCTTGGATACTCAGTAAATTCTAATGAATAATCAAGATGTTTTGGGAATGCAGAAGTACTCGCATTCTGGGAGATTCCTGTTAGAATATTGAAAGGGTTTTATAATTTTTAAAATGTGAATGATCATCCATTCCCAATAACATTTAAGGAGCTCATGTAGGTACGTTAAAATTTCAGCTGTCAACGCCTCTATATACTGACAACAACATTCCAAATGCTGGCCCTAAATAGGTCCCAGAGCTTCCCGAATATTCACCGCTGGCCAAGATCCAACTGTATAAACTGGTATCCAGCACCACTTAAATTGGTATTCCCCCCCATGTCTATATGCAACCCTTTGTAGAGCCAACTGTACCCCCAGTTCTGCTCCAGGAGATGTCACAGCCATCCCGATTAGGATTTTTAGTAAGCAGAATAACTCTTCTTAACTTTAGAAAGTAGTCCCCTGCTAAATTTTGTTAGTTTCATTTGTTCATTCATTCCATTTTATTTTTATCCCACCTATTTATTTTTATCCCACTCACAACATACTATAAAAAAGCATGCATAACTAAAACAATCTTTTAAGTATAATACAAAAACACAATACAGTACAGTGGTGCCTCGCTTAACGATGATAATCCGTTCCAGGAAAATCGCTGTTAAGCGAAAACATCGTAAAGCAAAATTAAAAACCCCATTGAAACGCATTGAAAACCGTTCAATGAATTCCAATGGGGTAAAAACTCACTGTCCAGTAAAGATCCTCCATACGGCGGCCATTTTCGCTACCTGTATAGCGAGAAATCCATCCCTACGCACAGCGGGGAGCCATCTTAAGCACCCGGTGGCCATTTTGAAAACCCGACAATCAGCTGGTTTTGATCGTCGTAAAGCGAAAATCGGTTCCTGAAGCAGGGAACCGATCATCGCTAAGCGAAATTCCCCCATTTAGGCCATCATTTTGCAATCGCAATTCCGATCACAAAAAGATCGTCGTAAACCGGATTCGTTGTAATGTGGGCAATCGTTAAGCGGGGCATGACTGTATCTAAAACCATCCTATTAAAAGATGCTCAAATTTAAGCAAATCAAAGAAAGAAGAAAGAAGAGAATACTTTCACCCCCATTATAAGCCCCTTCCTCAGTATCCCTCTAGCTGCCAAATGCCTGGCTGTATGAAAGGGACTCTCTCTGCTAGTAGAAAGATGGGAGGATGGAATTCAGACTCAGTCAGAAGGGAAGTACAGCGTTTGGGAAAAGCTTGAGGCATCTACTATGTAATACTATGTCCTCCCTGGCTTTTGAAATCCACCAAAGAGGTAGTGGTGGAATGGGCCATGCAAATGATTAACTCATCGTTACAAGAGGGCTTTATGTTCTCGTTTGAAAAAACTATAGTTCAGTCATGCTTAAAAAAATCTATCTCAGATGTAAATAGCTACAGACCTATCAGTAATATTCCATTTTTGGGGGGAAACTAATAGAGACGCTCAAATTTAAGCAAATCAAAGAAAGAAGAGAGAATACTTTCACCCCCATTATAAACTAATAGAGACAGTTGTGGCAGATCAGTTACAGACATTCTTGGAAGACACTGATAGTCTGGATCTATTTCAATTGGTGTTCAGGCTGTGTTGTGGGACCAAGACAGTTTTGGTCTCTCTGCTCAGTGACTTGTTGAGGGAGGCCAACTGGGGAGGTATGACCTTGCTGGTCCTCCTGGATCTCTCAATGGCCTTTGATATTGTTGACCATGGTATCCTCCTAGACAGGGTGTTGGGTTTAAGGACTGGTGGTTCGGTGTTACTCTGGCTGCAGTCCTTTCTCAACAGCCATGTCCAGAGAGTGCAACTTGGGGATGCTGTTCCATCTCCATGGGTCCTCCATTGTGGAGTCCTACTGGGGTTGATCATCTTCCCAACACGATTTAACATCCATATGAGGCCATTGGGGCAGGTCCTCCAGAGATTCGGAGTTCATTGTCATCAATATGCTGATAACACACAATTCTACCTCTCCTTTTCATCATCAGCAGTGGAAGCTGTGCTGGACCTTGGAGCAGTGTTTGATCTTGGTTATGAACTGGATGAGGACTAAGATTGAAACTGAATCCAGACAAGACAGAGATCATGTTGTTGGGAGGGGAGCCTGCCTGGTTAGGATATATTCTGCCTGGATTCAATGGGGTTACACTCCCCCTAAAAGACCAGGTTCATGACTTGAGGATGCTCTTGGATCCAGCTCTCTCCTGGGTCCAGGAGCACCCTCAAGTCATGCTTCTCTCGCACAGAAGCAAATCTCTGCCATGGCTATGTCTGCCTCTTTTCACCTTCAGCAGATCTGCCCTTCCTGAACAGGAACTCCCCAATTATATTGGTCCATGCACTGATAATTTCTACGATCAATTACTGCAATGCTTTCTACATGGGCTGCCTTGGTAACAAGGAAGCTTCAACACACAAAAAAATGTGGCAGTTAGGTTAGTATCAGGAGCAAGAAAGTGCGATCACATCCTCTGAACCTAGTTCATCTGCACTGGCTGCCTATTTGCTTCCATACCAATTTCTAAGTGTTGGTGCTAAGTTACAAAGTCCTTAACAGTTTGGGACCTCAGAGCGTCTCCCCTTGAGTTCATCTACCCAGACAACCCAGTCTATTCAGACTTCATGGTCACCCCTAGAGAGGCCCAGAGAACTACCACCAGGAACCCGGCTTTCCACAGCATTATGGAACAAGTTGCCTGTTGATATACATCAGACACCCTCCCTTCTGACCTTCAGGAAGAGGGTAAAAGCTGAGTTTTTCATATAGGCTTTTGGGAACATTTTTCCCCTTTGATATTCCTGTGGATCCATTTGTTTTCCATTTGATTTTTGTCCACTGTTGCCTCTAGAGATTTTTCCATCTATTTTTATTAACTGAGTGTTTGTGTTTGTTGGGCGTGTCACTCTTTCTTTCTTTCTTTCTTTCTTTCTTTCTTTCTTTCTTTCTTTCAGCTGTCCAACGTAATGCTCTGTCATTAGATGGACAGGATAGAAATGTAATTAATTAATAGTGAGAATTCTTCTAAGGGCCTGTGGTCTGAATTTGATTGTGCCTTTTCATCCTGTTGTGAATCACGTCACACATGCCGGGAAGGGAGGGAAGTTTCAGCAGTATTTTAAATAAACTAAACCATTTAAAAGAAAATTACTTTTAATATATAGAGCTATGTAAATAGTCAATGATCCAAAATATCCACAGCAAGTGAAATGTTTTACTTTCCATGCAACCAGTTCTCACTGTTTCCAGTGGTATTTTCTTCCCTTTCTTTAAATATGTAACAACCTACCTGTAAGTGTTTCTGTTACTACAGCTATAATTTCTAAAGGCATTTGGTGAAACGCATATGGATTCCAATCTTCATATGTAATGTTCTTCATCTCTTCACTGTTCAGTGTAAAGTTCACAGATCCATTAATCTGAAATCAGGGGGATAAATGAACTGGTTAAGTTTTTTTTTAATTTTTCAAAAATAAATTTATAGGAAGACAGATCACGTGTTGTCACTGCACTTTACTGAAGGATCAAAGTGATCAGAGCAGAGCCCATGATCAGAAGAACATAATCCTATCGTAGGTCTTGGTGACGTCAGACATTATGGTGGCACTCAACAATGTGAACTTCCTCAGGCATCTGACCTCCAGAGAAACCAAGTGTACCATCCTCTCAAGCCTCCTTACACACTAACAGACACAAGCAGACTCATACACATTTCCAGATCAGGCTTGGACTAAGATAGTAAGAGATCTCCCCCCTACTGATTACAGAACATCCTCACATTTTTATCCCTTTGTCTTCACCATATTCCACCCTTAAATTGGAAAGGGCCACATACTGCTGGCTGCCATTGAGCCAAAATATGTTTAGCTTTGGAATAGGAAGCAAGAAAGAGCAGGGAATGTGAAAGGATCTTTAAATGAAACTATTCTGAGAATGTGGGTGAAGGAGACAGCTGTTGGGATGATAGTCTTGCATGCACTAACACTGAGTATCAGTGGGAGGGGTCTCTGCAGCCAAATTTGTTGTTCTTTGCCACTAACTTGATTGGTAATTTATTCCCACTTGACATTTGAAGCAAGCTCCCATTTCTTCCTGTTTGTTTTCTGCTTCCATTGTTTTGTTGACAGCCTCTCCCTTCTCCCTTGTTTATAGCCTCTCCTATCCTCTAAGCTAGAGACTCAATTTCCCCCCCCTTTTTTTCCTTCTGACTGTAACTATGAGTGGTAACTGTAAGTCAAGGTAACTTTTTGCTACTTTAATGCTTCTAGAGTGATTTTTATCATACAGAGTGCTAGTTTTTGTTTCTGCAAATCAGTGGCTGTTTTGGTGATACTGGGTTGATCTCAGCATTTCTGTTTTTCTTCCTTATGCTTTGCTAACTCAAATAATAGCCAAAAGCCAAAAACCCTTTTAACAAAAAAATCCCCAACACAAGCAAATGTTCTAGTGAACAGATATCCAGAAGTCGTATAGCAAAATAAAACAACACAGAGGATTGGTTGACTCATTTGCTAACAAATCCTCAAGCTGAAGAAGTATTTTTATTTATTTTTATTCATAACCAGCTCACCTCAAATATTTTAGTGATATTGCTCTTTTTTCCATGGAAGAACGAGAAGAAAACAAGAGTTAATTTTCCTTCCACTGGCATTCCATATACGTATCTGAAATGGTCACAAAACCCACATTCAGTTTCTGAAGAAAGCTTAAAACAATATCATAAGCTAATTGATATTTATTTGCAGCTGAACATATATACTTCACATTTTAAATTTGGACAGTAAGGTCTGCATAACCCCCTTTGCTAAGCATCTATTTATGGAATTTGTTTCTTCATACTGAATCTTTTTACCAGGACTATCTCAAGAATGATGCAATATAATGACCAGCTATATGAAGATCCAGGGATAAAAATAGAAATCCACAAACTCCAGCATAGCTTCAATAAAAAAGAAGAAAGTGTAAAACTCAACAAAGCCTGGCTCCCAGCAGGCTCCTGAAAAATACAGCCTGCAAAAGGTCAATGAACTCTACCCAGCCACAAGGACAGGTGATCACTGCACACAAAAGACCAGTTAACAATACCCATCAATAACAGTGACAGATCATCTCCCCTCTTATCACAATACGCCCACAACAAAAAACGCTCCGATCACCATAATCACCCATTCTTCTGAAAAGGACAAAAAGCTGATCCCACAGCTATAAATACTCAACTATTCCACAAACTACACCAGAACACAGAGTTCTAATTCCTGTCCTCTGAAGATGCTGGCCACAGAGACTGGTATAACGTTAGGAAGGAAAACCTTCAGAACACGGTGAAACAGCCCAAAAAACCTACAACAACCTAAAATAAAAACATTCCAAATTATCCTAGCAAAAACACTCTAGAAACATTTGGGAACCAGAAAAATATTCCAGTAAGATCATGTATTTTTTGGAATGAGTATAATATAAAATGTATTCACTCAAAATGGTGGGAGCTGCAGATTATGCAAATATATATGCAAAACAGGCTGCAGAGCTAGAGAATAATTATTTGGGGCATACGACAGACAGTCTGACATATACAATACCCACATCCAAAATTATTATTTTTTTACTTAATGAATGCTATAGTCTTCATGAGAAGAACATACAAGGGGATGTTCCTTCCATGTGATTTGCAATACATATGATACAGCAGTTTGCAGTTCTCTCTTCAGTATGGACTGTATAAGTCACTATTTTGCTTCTCCAAAATTATGGTGCCTGTATATTTAAATTTCTTAAATATGCCTAAAAGTATAATCTTGTATGCTAATGATGTTAGAAATAATGCATTTTATGTTGGGTTTAGGTTTAGATACAAAAATAAGTCTTGCATGCATTTTAGATGTTCCAAAATTTCCTATTTAGGAAAAAATTGCCAGAAAAAAAAACTATTGTTCCATGATGCGAAATTTTTACTTCCACTATAATGACAGGATTTCACTCACATTGTGCAAGAAACTTATTGTGCTCTCATTTGTTACCGAGTAAAATTTAAAAAAAAACAGTAACAACAACAAAGCACTCATAACATCCACAATTATTTGCTAGAAATGTGGAAACCTGTCAACGGCCAAGTAAATTAGAACCAGTCACATAACATTTGGTAATTACAGCTGTAGTAACAAAGCAAGCCATCAAAAGAACATATGAGCTTAGATATAGGTGCCAATGTGCTGCATAGCATTTTCTTCCTTCTACAGAAGGAAACACAGTCCAGGATTGGAGCAGGCAGACCAAAAGCCTTTTCCTGCCTTTTCAAATAACCAGGAAGGTCATCCCATCTCCTGATTTTCTTTTCTAGTAACTCACATCAAACCAATGCTATATTTCTAAGAATCTGCTCCGCTCACTCACCTCAAAAATTGAAGGGAAGTGCTAGATGTACATGACTCAACCAAATGCATTTTAAAAATTATAAAGACTATTTTACTTACTTTGCTGTGACAGTACCATTGAAATGGGCATCTTTTGGAGAATAATACAGAGGTGTTTTTAGAAAAACTTCAAACTTTGGTAACTCTAAGGAAGAGAAAAGTTATAATTCAATTAAAATGATACAAATATGTTCTTTGTCACCATTTAAGCAACACATGCTTTTTAACAAATGTAAGAGGAGACCTAATTTACATTAATTTATCAGTTCTGCTTTATCCTATTTTTATTTTCTACAGAAAATCCTGGGAATTATAATTTCAGAGAGATTATGAAAATCCCTTTCCGTACCCAAATATGCAATAAATCCCATAAACTAAAAGTAGGCAATGTAAGGCACATATGAAATACTTGCATGTGCAAACACAAATATATATATACACACACAATGACCTGAAATTACAGGTTCACAGATGGCAGCATGGGAAGCCTTAATTCTCACTAAACTAAGTAGACTGGATATTACTTTCCAGAGTGCCATGACTTCCCCCTAAAACCAGCCCAGCCTTTATGGGGCCCCACTTACAACCCCATCTGTGGTCAATGCCCAAGGAACAATGTGGGCATGCAGTTGTGACACATTTGATAACAGAACTCTTTGACTCTGGAGGCACATCAGACATCTATTCTGCCAGCAAATTGCAGTGTATCTTTTCAGTTATGCCTTCAGTCCTTCTCATACTGGTGAGGAGACCTTTGAATCTGCTGCCCGCTAAGCAGCCTGTTGTATGTACTATCTCACACTTGACTGGATTTGGTGTATTCTTCAGAGCTTGCCAGTAGCATTTTATTACCAGCGAGCTTTGTGTTTGCATTTTTATTTATAATCTACTTTTAGATTTATAGTAAAACTCCTCTCATGGATCAGTATTCACTGATTCACTTACCCGCTCCCTGAAAATATAAATTTTTTAAAACCCAGAAATACATATTTAAACTTTACATATATTTACATGGTGTATTTACCAGAACTGGCCACTAGAGATAGCCAGAGACCATGCTTTGTATAGAGTATGCTATTTCCACATTTTTCCGCATTCACAGGAGGGGCCTGGAACTGATCCCTCTGGATACCACGATCCTACTGTATTATGAACAGCAGTTTACTTACACTATGAACAATAAACTATCTTCTCTTCCCACCCAAACATCCTAGTAATTCAATTTCTTTTCCTGTAGGATTTTTATCCATTCCCAACTCACTTCTGATACTGGAGCAAACTGCTTGGAGCAAAAGGCTGGAGAGGGTAAGACATTGTACAAAGAAGGAGCAAGCCCTTCTTTCACACGCCTCTTACTGCTGGAGGAAGACGTACAGTCTCCCACATATGCTATAATGTGGCAGACATGTAATCAGCATCCAGCTCTGTAAATTACAAAGCATGTCTATAACACCAAATAGTCCTGGCAACTCTCTTCTGTATGTTAGGAATGTGTGACGGGCTCACAGTCTGAGTCTTACATTCCTCTCCAATTTGAAGACTTTTAATTAGTAGGGTATCGTTCTGTCAGTCCCAATTTACAACGTTGCCTTCTTGAACCTGATTGCTTCCCCTCCACGTCCTTCTGTCTTCCAGAAAACAGGATCTTCACAATCTGCTTTTGAACCTGAGACAAGTGCTACTTACCATACTCCATCACTGTAAAAGCTTGATAATGTGTTTGGCCCTATTGAAATGCAAAAAGACAAAAATCTATGAAGATTTGATATCATGGTATATTTTTATCTAGGATAGAAGCTTGTTTAAAATGGCTTTTCTCTCTTTGTCTTTCTCTAAATGTTATATTATTTAAGATACACAACAATTTAGGAAATACCAGAACTGGTTATCATGTAACACAACTGAATACATCATTCATCTACAGAATGGCCTGTGTATATCCCAGAGACTTTATAATACTTAAGTGCACTGTAAAGGATGACATACTAAATGGCCACAAGCCTACTGATCTATACCATACAGTGGTGCCTCGCTTGACAAGGATAATCCGTTCCAGAAAAATCACTGTAGAACAAAATTGTCATCAAGCGAAAGTAAAAATCCCATTGAAATGCACTGAAAACCGGTTCAATGCGTTCCAATGGCGAAATACCTCAGCACCCAGAGAAGATCCTCCATAGGTTGACCATTTTATGGTGCCTGTAAAGCGAGGAATCCATCCTAAAACACAGCGGGGAGCCATTTTGGAAACCTGACGATCAGCTGTTTTGATTGTCGTTAAGTGAAAAATCGGTTCCCGAAGCAGGGAACCAATCATTGTGAAGCGGTTTTCCTTATTAAAACATTGTTTTGCGATCGCAAAAGCGATCACTAAAACTTCATCGTCAAGAAATTTCCTCGTCTTATGTAATCGTCAAGTGGGGCACCACTGTACATGCATCACTCCAATGCACACACAACACAGTTTTCAAGGAGGAATTCAGCATCTCCTTGTGCAAGAGGAAGTTCAATGGTAGCCAAAGAAACAAGCAATCCTGGAAAGTGAACTGCGACAGAATTGTGAGGAAAGGGGGAGTTGAAGTGTCTTTTTGTTGGCAAATGGAAGCACCAATATGCAAAAAGACGTACCATCCTTGCCTCTTCCCCCTTTACTCACAATGCTATCACCGCTTACTTCTAGGCTACAGCCTCGTAGAGAGTAGAGACAGAGGGAGCAAGTAGTGAAAAAGTGGCATGCACGAGGCAACCAAGATAAGGGTTTTGCTTCAGCTTACACAGCAACAAACCAGGAATCACGGAAGGACTGCGTTAAACAGAACACTGACCAATACATCTATCATGGCATAAACTTTTGTAAACCAGAGTCTGTCAGATACATGAAACAGCCTCTTAACTAGGTAGGATGGTAGGTATTCATTATCATGATTGAGAGCTACAAATTACTCTTGTCAGGCATATTGCTTGCCATAACTGATCTCTCAATGCTAAACATTGATTAGGAAGAACTTGGAAACTGCTCATGAATATTTTAAATGGGAAAGGCCATGATTATCTGGGAAATAACTGATCTCTCCATCAAGCCCTATTGTGTCCCAACTAATACAATGGATGAGAAAGAAATTAATTGTTTTTATAAAAGCAAGATTGTGTGTGAGAGAGAGACAGCACACACAAAGAAAGAGCATACACCGTGAGTAGAGGGTTAAGACTATCTTAGAGAATCATTGTGGGGTAGACAGGTCTGAGACATAACAGGACATGATATGCTGCCCTCATCAGGCTGGGGCAACCAGGGCTTCGGGCCAGGGAGCTGAAATTGCCTAAGGGTACACAGGCTGGCTTTTCCTTCCAAGAAGTACAATGCAGAATCAAAGTCCCAAACTCTGGAGCCAGGTATCCATCTCACTGTGCTATCCAGCCCAATACTTACAAGCTTCCAATGATGTGCAGTAATGAAAATAAAAACACTATTATTTATTATAGAAATAAGCCAGAAATAAGATGGGCTGACTACATAAAGATCCAGACAGTGTCTAGGTTTTCAGTTTTTGACAAGATTCCTAGCTTCTGAAAACATACTCTTTCAAACAGGCCAGAACATGGTCACTGGGATTAAGTTGTCTTTGTTCAATTCACTTTGTAGTTTGCTTTTGGCATGAGAGGATGGTGAAAGCAATCTAAAACATTTCAACAGAATGCATGAATCACTGAAGACTCATACATAACAAAATAAACTGAATTTGTTGCATCTATCGCTAAAGCTAAACCTCATTATGGACACCAGGAAAAACACACTGTCCTCAGCTTTCTTGTGCTAAATGTTCCAAATGAACTCTCTCACACAGCAAGTTTTCTATGGCAATCTTTGCCAGAGTTATAACCATTACTGGGGAAAACCAAGCAGGAGGGTTGTACGGCACACATGTTCTGCTTGTGAGAGTCCCATAGGCATCTGGCTGACATTTTGTGATTCTCTTCTAACCCATCAATTTTCTTCTTTGCGGTCTATCATGTTCTTCAATGACACACAAAGTCAACCCATCTCTAAGCTTGTACAGTGGTGCCCCACATAGCAAGGTTAATCCGTTCCGGATTAACCTTCGCTATGGGGAAACATCGCTAAACGGAACGGAAAAGCCCACTGAAACGCATTAAACGAAGTTCCAAATGGGCCCAAAACTCACCGTTCTGCGATGTCCCCCCATGTTCCGGCGGCTATTTTGGGTGTTCCGGCGGCCATTTTGGGTGTTCCGGCGGCCATTTTGGGTGTTCCGGCGGCCATTTTGGGTGTTCCGGCGGCCATTTTGGGTGTTCCGGCGGCCATTTTGGGTGTTCCGGCGGCCATTTTGGGTGTTCCGGCGGCCATTTTGGGTGTTCCGGCGGCCATTTTGGGTGTTCCGGCGGCCATTTTGGGTGTTCCGGCGGCCATTTTGGGTGTTCCGGCGGCCATTTTGGGTGTTCCGGCGGCCATTTTGGGTGTTCCGGCGGCCATTTTGGGTGTTCCGGCGGCCATTTTGGGTGTTCCGGCGGCCATTTTGGGTGTTCCGGCGGCCATTTTGGGTGTTCCGGCGGCCATTTTGGGTGTTCCGGCGGCCATTTTGGGTGTTCCGGCGGCCATTTTGGGTGTTCCGGCGGCCATTTTGGGTGTTCCGGCGGCCATTTTGGGTGTTCCGGCGGCCATTTTGGGTGTTCCGGCGGCCATTTTGGGTGTTCCGGCGGCCATTTTGGGTGTTCCGGCGGCCATTTTGGGTGTTCCGGCGGCCATTTTGGGTGTTCCAGCGGCCATTTTGGGTGTTCTGGAGGCCATTTTGGGTGTTCCGGTGGCCGTTTTGGAACCGCCGAACAGCTGTTCCCCCATCGCAATGCGATAAAACATCGGTATGTGATCGCATTAGCGATCGCAAAATCCGCATCACTATGCGGATTCATCGTTAAACAGTGTGCTCGTTATGCAAGGCACCACTGTATTTTTATACATGCTCCTCTCCATGTACTGCGGTTTGAAATGTTTTTACTCAGAAGTCAAATCTCACTGACCTACGTAAAGACAGAACACAACCTTTTATTGTCCCCCACCAAATTCTTTCAAATATCTGCCAATACATCACTTTGGTTTCATGCAAGACTGGGAAAATTCCAGCCTACCAGATGCTACCACAGGGTAACTTGCCTCATTCACCCTTGGCCTGTGCAGCTGAGAGTTGATGAGAACTGCAGATGAACAACATCTGGAGAGCTATAAACACGCATTCTAATTAGTTAGATGACAGCAATCCCAGTATCTTTCAATACACTCTCCAACAGTCAAATTTAACATGGGCACCTGATCATGCAAGGCTAGCAGCAAGTTCCTCTATACTGAGAGCACTTTTTAGAGCTGCCACAATCACTGCAGTCACCACCATCCATACTGAAGATACCTCTTATACATTATATTTGTTCCACGAAGTATTTGTTATACTTGTTCCAAGAATGATCTTGATGACTTCAACACCCAAAATTGTTAAGGAATGAGGGTTCTGGTGTCACGGTAGCACCAGGGGAGGAAGAAGAAAGAGGGGTCACAAGGATGCAAAGAACAGGACAGAATGCAAGCAGTTCTGGAGTAAGGATGTCAAGAAAGAAGGAATTTTAGAGAGTGACAGAAAAGAAGTGGGTTGCGGCTTGAGATTGAAGAGGGCCTGCAGCCCAAAATATTTTTTTTAATTTCTTTTCATTTGCAAATTAGGGATGGATCATTTAAGCAATGAGTCCCCTTCAAATATACATGGCCTATGTTTTCTTTATTGTGCCCGTCCATCCCTCTGGCTTCCATTTCTTTGCTGCTCCGCCTGCCATTTTAATAGTGTGTACTTCTAAAGACAGTATTTACTCTGGCAAGGACATTCACAGATGCTGAAATGTTTCAAAACAAATCAATTTCACCTTCATGTTAAAATAAAAAGCCTCCATGAGTTTCTTCAGAATAACTTGCTTGGCAGCCAACTAGTTCATGGTTGTCTGTATGTCATGTAGCTGGAATTTTTAACAGCCAATTTTAAGCATGCTAAATCTGATTTAAACTTGGCTTTCACTGTGTGTGTGACTGTGCCCTTAGGCAGACTGAACTGATGGAGCAATTGGTCTATAGAAATTGCAGCCAAGTATATTCTCCCAACAGCTCTGATAGCAACTAGAATTGGTGCTGATCCTCTCCACTGATTCTGTCTGAATAATATTCATTCATTCATTCATTCATTCATTCATTCATTCATTCATTCATTCATTCATTCAATTTATATCCTGCCCATCTAGACGGAAATCTACTCTACAAATAAGGTTTGCCATTCCAAGCAAGTGCATGAATGGCTATTATCAAATCTTCACTGTGTCAAGGGACCAGAGAGAACCTGTTGCTCAAGCTGTCAACCTGGAAAAAAATACAAGAATGTCCCAGAATGGTCAAGGCAGAAGTACATAGCCAGCAGGAGCAGTCACTACAAAATGATCTTGTTGATCATGTGTTGTGCTGGTTTTTTAATTGATAATAATTCTAATTAAAAATTACCAAAGTTGAAAATCCTGAAGAACTATCCCTACTATTTAGGATTTAATTCATTCCCTTCCACATGTTTATTCCTACTCCTAATTGTTCATTTTGTTATCATTTTCTTTTCAAAGGTTTAGTAGGGTAAAGGGAGGTTGTGTGTGCATGTGTGCATGTCTATATGCAGTTTTTGTTTTATTTTATTTTGCTGGTGCAGAACTGAAGAAAAAAGCACCCATCGCATTTGTTTGAGACCTTTGATTGCAGCCAAGGAAGAATGTTCCTAAAGTAATGAGATAATGGGGAAAACATTGTCTCAAAGCCTTTATTTTGCTGAGCATATATATAAATACGTATTTTATATGAAATTTGCAATTTTTCACCCTTGCATTACATCTTTCTCTAGATTACATTGACACCTAAAGGGCATTTTAAAAATCAATACATTTCTTGCATTAAAACAGACCAAAACACGCTGTGCCTGATTACTCTCCTGTAGGACTATTTTAATATATTATAGCTCAGTGGTTTATGTATCTGACTGTAGAGTCAAAAGTTATGAGTTTGATTTCCCATGGTGCCTCTTGCCAGTACAGCCAGCCTGTGTGCTCTTGGGCAAGCTGCACAATCCCAGGGTGCCCCAGAAGAGGGGAATAGTAAACCACTTCTGAGTACTCTCTACCTGGAAACCCCTGAAAAAGGTTGCCATTAGTCAGAATTGAATTGATGCACATCACCATTGTCATCATCATTACACACAACTACTATCCTTCTTATTCCCCCACAACCGCCTTCCTTACAATTAAGACTTCCATTTTTATCTTACTGGTTCATCTCTTAATTACATTTATATTGGACCTTTCCTCCTATAACCCTGAAAAAGGTTGCCATAAGTCAGAATTGAATTGATGCACATCATCATTGTCATCATCATTACGCACAACTACTGTCCTTCTTATTCGCCCACAACCGCCTTTCTTACAATTAAGACTTCCATTGTTATCTTACCGATTCATCTCTTAGTTACATTTATATTCGGACCTTTTCTCCAATACATTTGAGGCATATATGGTTCTTTTCCCGGTTGCCATAAGTCAGAATTGAATTGATGCACATCATCATTGTCATCATCATTACGCACAACTACTGTCCTTCTTATTCGCCCACAACCGCCTTTCTTACAATTAAGACTTCCATTGTTATCTTACCGATTCATCTCTTAGTTACATTTATATTCGGACCTTTTCTCCAATACATTTGAGGCATATATGGTTCTTTTCCCAACTTTATCCTCACTACAACCCTGTCAAGAGGTTCATACTCAGAGATAATGGCCCAAGATCACCCAGTACGTTTCATAGTTCAGTGACAGCTTGGACCTGGATGTTGAAGGAAGTATTTACTTAAAAATGGTCCCTCTTTCATCACACTGACTCTATTTTGCAAAGGTACTGTCAATCCTGTCCCCCCCCTTTCTCCATTTCCCTATAGTTTTTGTAATACGTGCATGATTAAAACACCTGGGAGGCTTTAAACCTTGACCTTAATCTTGGATATATTTGTTTGGTTCTAATAAAGGTTTTTTTTTTACCATGGACTTTGGAACTTCACCCCAGATAAATACTTTTTTTCCCTACTCTGATCTCCATGTAAAGTCCTGTTCCACAAGTATTACAGACATTTATTAATAACTGTATGAAATATTATTAGCAGCACAAAACACAGTTCTCCTCTACACTCAAGCCATTTTATGGATATTCACTTTCATCTATTGTCCTCAATAGTTGGACCATATTTTGCAGTTCCTCCAGGCTTAGCCTCTCCCAGCAGTGAGCCACTCCTAGTCTCATTTAAAAGGCTGGACTGTGGTTAAGAATGACAATCTTGTGTTTCCAAGATACTTAAAACAGATACACCTTCCTTTGGCAAACAGCCTAATAACAGAAGGTTGTACAAAACTAGGATGCTGCTTCAATCACCATTGCTCAAAATGCACTGATTACAGTATAAAAAGATATATATGGTGGTTGTGTTGTCTTTGTATAATCACACTTCATAAACATCTGTAGACTCAGGTCTTGTGGCTATATCCACCGATGGAAAAGGCTTCAGGAGTCAACCTAGAGGCAAAATCCGGAGCTGGAGTCCCGAAGGCAGTTCATGTCGTTCTGCCAACTCCTGCGACATTGCTGGAACCAGTTGCATTGGCTCTTGCCTTTCCATTGGACCATTTCAGCAACGTGGAGAGGGGGGATCTGCTGCTTGGGTAACAGCCTATCCTCCATATTACTTTACCCAGGCTTCATGCTCTGGAGAGGACACTCCTCAATTCAGAGCATGTTACCATAGTCTCTAGAGACTGAAGGATGCCTATGCTATGTCTTTGTATAATCACACTTTTTATTCATAAACTTTATCTGTAGACTCAGGTCCTTCTTATTGGTGAATCTTAAACAAGGATGGGTAAAATGTGTGTTACAGGTTGCGTGTGGTACAAAAACAATTTTGCTGGGTGCGAACTTAAAACAAAAAACACCCCATTAGACTTCTGGGGGAAACAACTGACCATTACAAAAAAATTGGAGGAGCAGACTAGATTTAATTTTGACTAAAGATTAACGAACACTCAGACTGATAGCAGCTCGGCTAAAACTTAAAAGTAGTTTTATCTTTGGTTTCACTCCTGGCACTTCACATTTCTACTGAACAATTCATTTTGTCAATACTCACATTTACTTCAACTTGCAGAGACCAGTCACCCAGGAGAGGATGTCTAGATAATTTAAACTGCTTGGTTATTTTGCCCAGTTTTCCATTCTCTGACAACCACTGTTGAATCAAATTGCGTCGAGGATCCTAGCAAGAAAGCAAACATCTAAATTATGTATTAAATTTTGTGTTTTACAAAATGGCAGAAACAAATCCAGGGCTACTTCCAAAATAGGTAATTGCTACTGACAGAGATCCTTGCATGTGAGTACCACAAAGGTCGCAGACACATAAAGTAAATTACAGCAGAAAGCACCCGCAACAGAACTTCATTAGCACTCTTTCAAGCACAATGACACAAGGCAAAGATTTGACCATCATCCTGTCACTATGACATGAGTTCCCGGAGTCAAGACCATGGGCCATTAGTGTTATCATTTTTATTGTGTGACCTACAATGCTGCCTTCTCCTTGTACATGACGAAATGACTGGTTCTTAATTTGACTTTCTTAATTTCACATAATTAGTAACACTAATCATCACAGAATAAATGAAAATGTATGCAATGAGTATTAAATTTTGTGTTTTACAAAATGGCAGAAACAAATCCAGGGCTACTTCCAAAATAGGTAATTGCTACTGACAGAGATCCTTGCATGTGAGTACCACAAAGGTCGCAGACACATAAAGTAAATTACAGCAGAAAGCACCCGCAACAGAACTTCATTAGCACTCTTTCAAGCACAATGACACAAGGCAAAGATTTGACCATCATCCTGTCACTATGACATGAGTTCCCGGAGTCAAGACCATGGGCCATTAGTGTTATCATTTTTATTGTGTGACCTACAATGCTGCCTTGTGGGAAATTTCTAGTTTTAGAGCTCAATCTTGTGGCATAATTAAGTACAGTGGTGCCTCGCTTAACGAGCACACCGTATAACGACGAAATCACATAGCGATCCTTTTTTTCGGATCGCTAATGCGATCGCTTAACGTTTTTCTAATAGGGCAAAATTCGCTTTGCGAAGACCGGTAAGCGTTTCGCTTACCGATCTTCGCAAAACAAAGCCCGACGATCAGCTGTTCGGCGGCCAAAATGGCCGCTGGAAGCCCGGAAATGAACCAAAATGGCTGCGCGCAGCATTTTCGCGCCCTCGTTAAGCGAGGGGAGGGCACGAAAATGGCTGCTGGCCATTAAGAAGCATCGCTGAACGGTGAGTATTCGTCCCATTTGGAACGCATTAAACCATGTTTAATGCGTTCCAATGGAATTCCCTGCCCCGTTCAACGATGCTTCAGCATAGCGAAGGTTAATCCAGAACGGATTAACTTTGCTATGCGAGGCACCACTGTATTGTTATGTGGTGCTTAGCATAATCATGCATTGTTCTGTGATTCTCTTTGTACCAAAGAACGCCCACCTAACCATCCAGATGGGAGGACGTCCAGTCCAGGGTCTAGTGGATACAGGAGCTGATGTCACACTGCCCTCTCCTTGTACATGATGAAATGGCTGGTTCTTAATTTGACTTTCTTAATTTCACATAATTAGTAACACTAATCATCACAGAATAAATGAAAATGTATGCAATGAGACCAAATGCTGTTATTTTAGAAGGAGAATGACAGACAGAAAGACAGAAAAAAAGACAGACAGAAAGAAAGAAAGAAATTCTATTGGTGTCGCTCCGCACATGTAAGACTAATGAGGGCATCAGCCTTTTACCGCTCATCAAATGTTTTTGATTCCTCCTCCTTCCTGCAGGTTGTGAGGCAGCCAAGAGAGGAGGCCTTCAAATAAAGGGGAGCTTTCCTGTGATCATTTTTATTGTGTGACCTACAATGCTGCCTTGTGGGAAATTTCTAGTTTTAGAGCTCAATCTTGTGGCATAATTAAGTACAGTGGTGCCTCGCTTAACGAGCACACCGTATAACGACGAAATCACATAGCGATCCTTTTTTTCGGATCGCTAATGCGATCGCTTAACGTTTTTCTAATAGGGCAAAATTCGCTTTGCGAAGACCGGTAAGCGTTTCGCTTACCGATCTTCGCAAAACAAAGCCCGACGATCAGCTGTTCGGCGGCCAAAATGGCCGCTGGAAGCCCGGAAATGAACCAAAATGGCTGCGCGCAGCATTTTCGCGCCCTCGTTAAGCGAGGGGAGGGCACGAAAATGGCTGCTGGCCATTAAGAAGCATCGCTGAACGGTGAGTATTCGTCCCATTTGGAACGCATTAAACCATGTTTAATGCGTTCCAATGGAATTCCCTGCCCCGTTCAACGATGCTTCAGCATAGCGAAGGTTAATCCAGAACGGATTAACTTTGCTATGCGAGGCACCACTGTATTGTTATGTGGTGCTTAGCATAATCATGCATTGTTCTGTGATTCTCTTTGTACCAAAGAACGCCCACCTAACCATCCAGATGGGAGGACGTCCAATCCAGGGTCTAGTGGATACAGGAGCTGATGTCACACTGCCCTCTCCTTGTACATGATGAAATGGCTGGTTCTTAATTTGACTTTCTTAATTTCACATAATTAGTAACACTAATCATCACAGAATAAATGAAAATGTATGCAATGAGACCAAATGCTGTTATTTTAGAAGGAGAATTGTCTGACTTCCTCCACACAATACACACTCCTTACAAAACTGTGGGTTTTTTCTTCTTTTCATACATTACCTTCAATACATTCTATACATTGGTATTTAATGCTGAAATTGTGTAAGGCTGCTCTTTAAGTCAGTACAGAAATTATATGTGATTATAATGTGCTATGAACTCAAAAGGCAGAATGACAGACAGACAGACAGACAGAAAGAAAGAAATTCTATTGGTGTAGCTCTGCGCATGTAAGACTAATGAGGTCATCAGTCTTTAACCGTTCATCAAATGTTTTTGATTTCTCCTCCTTCCTGCAGGTTCTGAGGCAGCCAAGGGAGGAGGCCTTCAAACAAAGGGGACCTTTCCTGTGCAAAAATTGCTAGCACTGGTGATTTGATAACCATACAACTTCTTCCATCTCTTTGAAGGCCAGATATATTCTTGCTGAAATCCCACTAGCATGGCTCCATATGTGTGACGCTAATGACATCATTAGCCAGAACTGTGTGGGCAATATTCAAACATTAATGACTCTTTCCCATTTCAAGGTCCTGAAAGGCTTCCCAAGGACAAAAGAAATGCTAGCGAACCTTGGGAAGTATTTGGCCTTCAGAGAAATGCCATGGCTACATGATTATCAATTCATGTAAAATCATTTTAAATTTTGTATATACAGTATTTTTCTGTTTATAAGATGCTACTTTTTCCTAAAATCATTCAATTAAAAATTGAGGCGCGTCTTACACGGAAATAAGCTAAGAACATGGAGAGAACAAAACAGCCCGTACCTTGTCTCTGTAAAAAGGCTTCCTTCACTCACAAGGCTTAGCTTCCTCCAGTCAGGAGCCTTATGGAACTGACGTCAGCTGATGCTGTGCAAACCAATTGGAACATACCTCGTTGGAGGTGGAGCCTCTAGGCTCAGATTCAGCAAGGACTCAAAATGTCCGACATTCTGAGCCCAGAGGCTGAATCCTCGAAGCTAAATTTTCTTAATTTTTGGATTAGAAAAGGGGGGGTTCTTATAAATGGAAAAATACAGTATTTATTCATTTTTTAAAAAACTTCTCAAAAAGAGAAATCTGCTTTGGAGGTAAAGCTGCATTTTTCATTGTGTAGTTCTGTCCTTGAGTACAATATTGTTGTTTTATTTATATTCCCAGTACAGAAGGGCTGGTCCAAATTGGATGTAGGGGGCTTGAATATCACACCTCCTGCTCCATATCCAGTCAAGCCACCTGCACCTGCAATAGGTACTGCCAATACAAACAATGTTCAGACAAGCAAGTCTGCAGGGTCCCAATCTGGAGAGGGCTACTCAAACTGGGAATTCGTAAAGGAGAAAAAAGCCTGTACTCTAAGCCACAATTATACTGGAAATGTAACATGTCATTTAGCCTCTACATTACCAGGCAAGGTAGTGAAGTGTAAAATTTACTAGCATGCAGCTTACCAAACATTCCATTTCGCAAAACATTCAGTTTCAGTCTACCTGCATTCAATTTGCCAAAGGTGCAACTGAGCAAGCAAAAACTGAGATGTTGGAGAGGATTAAATAATCTGTCTCACTAAGGGTGCAAAAATATGGGCAAAAATAACCACAGCTGGTAGGGACTCCTTAAAATAGCTTGCTTGCAATTTGATTTAAATCAGCTTGGTTCAGTGAGTGTGGACGGTGGTATTTATTTACAGTGGTGCCTCGCTTGGCGATGTTAACTCGTTCCAGCGAAATCCCTGTAGAGCGAAAACATCGTCAAGCGAAATAAAAAAGCCCATTGAAACGCACTGAAAACCGTTCAATGCGTTCCAATGGGCGAAATACCTGCTCGTCCAGCGAAGATCCTCCATACGGCGGCCATTTTCGGTGCCTGTAAAGTGAGGAATCCATTCTAGAAAACAGCGGGGGGCCATTTTCTTCAGCCGTCAGCCATTTTGAAACTCGGAGATCAGCTGTTTGCTGATCATCGTAAAGCGAAAATCGGTTCCCGAAGCAGGGAACCAATCATCGTTAAACGAAAAAAAAACATCATTTTGCGATCGCAAAAGTGATCACAAAAACCTAATCGTACAGCGATTTCCTCGTTAAGCGAGGCAATCGTTAAGCGAGGCACAACTGTGTAGTTTGTGCCTCTGTTTAATTTCAGTTACAATGAATCAGTTACTTCCTTTTGACATTCTTGGCTGAATGGAGTCATCAGTTTATCACCGTATCATTATTACTGTTTTTAAAGTAAAAAGGCAAATGGTAATAAAAAATCGGGTTCCTAAATAAGAAAGGAAATGAGTCAATTTTTTTCCCAGTCTAGATGCCAAAACTGATTTAAATGACCAGAAATAAATAGATTTCATTCTGTGAATGTGAACGTGGAGACCGATTTAAATACCACGTGACTTGAACCCGATTTTTTAAAAGCCTGGGCAGAAATTGATTCAAACTGCCAGTAGAGGCATACTTAAATCTCAGTTACCATAACAAAGGTAAAGAGAGAGATGCCCCGCAGAAGATAAACACAATGGCTGGGATCCTACTGAGAGTGCATGGAGTAGAAGGGCAATCATGCAGTCATCCCTCAGCTCCTTTTTGTATATCTGGTCTCACACTGGTTGCAAGAAAAACACCTGTGCTCATTCAAGATGAAAAACCATCTGACACTCATTTTGTCAAGAGCAAACTAGATTTTGCAAGCAAACGTACTGAACAAAAAGAACAGCAATGGTTAAATGCTAAATCACCCGCCATCACTCTTCTCCTTGAAACTGTTGCAAGAAAAACACCTGTGCTCATTCAACATGAAAAACCATCCAACACTCATTTTGTCAAGAGCAAACTAGATGTTGCAAGCAAACGTACGGAACAAAAAGAACAGCAATGGTTAAACACCATCACCAACACTCTTCTCCTTGAAACTGCAGCTTTCTAGAGGGTGTGTGTGTGTGTGTGTGTGTGTAATTGGGTGAGGAAAGTGTGAGTGGTTTGGTACAGGGCACTTACAAAAATCTGTGCTTTCACTTTGTCCCAAATTCATATTCCCGGTATTCTAACAGCTTCCTTACAATTAATTGTTCTGCTTCCGTTCACAGAATTGTACGATGCAGAGAGAGATGGGAGTTCCAGAAGGGTTTTTTTTATTATTTGAATCTCTCCCTTGTATTCACTTTGGTTCTTGTAATTCTTTTCTTACCAAAGAAATTATGTTAAGGAAGAGAAGATAGCAGAGCTGTGCAGTATCTTCTTACTTGTTGCTCTAGAGCAGTGGATCCCAGCTTTGGGTCCCCGAACATTCTTGGACTACAAGCCCCAGAAATCCTGACCAGCACAGCTAGTGGTGAAGACTTCTGGGAGTTTTAGTCCAAGAGCATCTGGGGACCCACGGCTGGGAACTGCTGCTCTAGAAGCTGTCTGCCTAGAAGCATTTTAGAGACTGGGACCGGTTTGAAACATGTTTCTATAGGTGACTGCCAACATTATGCATAATGTCTTTTTTAATTGACCACTGCAATAGAATAAATAGCCCTCGTACTGTTGTAACATAGTGCAAATAGACTGCAGGTAGACGTTCACGCCCTCTGAATGAAAACTCTCCTTTACCAAATTATAGTTTACACTTACCCGAATATATATATTTACAGGAGCATTGAATGGCTTTAAGTCAGGATACAGAGTAACAACTCGGATTTTCACCTCTTGCCCCGGTTTATACACAAACTTGTCCGTCTGGATGAAAACTGAGAAGCTCTTGAGCCGAAAGGAAAGGGCAGTGTGGTTAGAAAACAGCAGCTGGTCTTCTGAATATCCTTTGACATGCAAGTCATAACGGCCAGGAGTACTCTCCAAAGGCAGCTGTGAGAAGAAACATCCTTCATCATCATTACTATTTAGCTATTGATTTCTAAAAGTTACTGTAGACACAGAAAAACAAAACAATGTATAATTTAAAAAAAAAATTCCAGACGCATATCACCAGAGAACAACAGTACTTGAAAACTAATTATTTCAAGTGTTTTCTCATTTGCAAGCCATATGGGAAATGCTTTTGCACTTCTCTGTTCATTCTAACTGCATTCAATCCTTTGCCCAAGGTTTCATAAACTACATGATGAACATATTCTCCCACTTCTGTCCTATCTTCTTCTCAACAGCCAGCCTCAGCACAGAGATTCTGGCTTGCCCAGCTGACAAGATCTGGCAAACTAATTCAAGATACCTTTGCAGTTTTCTGCTTTTGCATTGTTTGGGAAAGGACAATAAATCCCAGAATCCTGCAGCTGGCTGGCCGCCAGCCATGGGAGATTCTAAGAACTGTGACTTTCTGAAGCACTACTTAATTGTCACAGATACAGGACTATTCTGCCTGCCATACAAGAGTGGAAACTCTTGCTACAGACGGCATTGAGTCTCCTCTGTTCCTAATCTAAACAAGGCAAGATTGTTATCACCAAACATATGGACATGCAAAGATCCTTGAAAGGTATTTTAAATTTTAAAAACATAATCTCACGTTTACAGGCAGCCGATGAGGCCATTTTATTACAGGACGCCATACATTTTGTTGTGTGTCTATATATGTCTGTGAGCAAGTATGTGTTAGTTTTTGAGCTGCTTTTAAATCCATAGGCTCTGAAAATACATGGCCAGAATCCTTTTACTTCGACCCACCACTTCAGGCCAAACAGCATAACTTGCTGCAACAAATTGCCAGTGCTGAACAAGTCAGCCATTGTATTTCTTGCTGTGCTCCAAGTCGTGTGACAGGAAAAACAAACCTTGATTTCTTGACTTGCACTGATTCACTACAGCCATTCACACCATTTGACTTACTCCAGTAGGTGTAAATAACAGAATGCTGATTATGATTGTTTTCTAATGTTATAACTCATCGGCCACAATCATTTTGCCTAGTTATTCCAGCGTAAGCTAAGAAATCAATGTAGATGCTACCCTTTGATGCTAAGTTGCTGAGTTAATTCTACACCAGTGCAAGAGGATTTGGAACATTCTATTTTTACCTATATTTTAAAATCATTTGTGAGTTGTATTGGGTCCCTGCAATAGAAGAAATGTGGCAGACAAAGGAAATAAACATATAAAATATTCCCCTGTCAATATTTTGTTTTGAAATAGTATCTGAGGAAGAGTCTATAAAGTGCCTTTTTCTAAGTACATATATGATTTGACTTCTTAACTATTCTGAGCCACATGTTTCATCAGAAGGCAGACTGCATATAAAACTATATGTTCAATCACGTTATATGTTCTTCTGAACCACCACGTAACATTTTAATACTTTCACCTTTTTTCCAATCAATACTGAAAACCATAAACCTAAAGTGAAATATTCCTGTTGACTCAGTTATCTGCACTTTATTTTGATAAAACCATTATGAATGTCTGTCTTAGTGTCATATTTACAGTTCATTGTGAGTTACCTCCTAAACTTTCTAATAGTAGTTAATTAGTTAATTTGTGCCATTAAGTTGGTTCTGATAAATGAGGACCATTCTTGAGGTTTTCCTGGCATTCAGTACTCAGAGGTGGTTTACCAGTCCCTCCTCTGGAACCATGCTGCTTGCCCAAGGCTACGCAGGCTGGCTCTTTTCACAAGAAGCACAGATGGGAACTGAACCAGACACTCAAAGCCACTGAGCTCTTCAGCCAGCCAAACCTTCTAAATTGCATATCAATGGCTTATATTTCAGTTTATATCTCACTTGATTTTATGAATATTCTTCATCACTAGGAGAAAGGATAATTTAAGCAGGAAGAATGATTAAAATATCACTAGGCTAAGCAAAGCATCAATTCAGATATTCTTATTTCTGGGTTTGGTGTTGAATCATGTTGATTGCTAGTACTTCAAAAGGAGAATACTTACAGCTGGAAGGACAAGTGTTCCAAGTGAATCTATATTTAAAATAGAAAAAGATAAACATTAATCCACTCCCTGATTCTCATGTGCTATATACTCCCAATAAGTAAATCCATCCTTGCAATGCACCTTCTTTAAATCAAGCAATCCAGCATTATTCTGTTAAATAATCTGTCCTTTTCTTGCTTTTCATCAATGGGACTTCCCATACTGCCTGTAAACACACCCCTTGTAGGTAGACAATATTTCATATATATTACTGCAAGCCTGAGGGCAACCCAAGAATACAAGAGATCTGGGGGGAGACTTTAACACCATGTCCTTCAATCATCTGTTAGTTTCCTTATCCTGGTTGTGAGTTGAGCTAAGAGCAACTGCCCATACTTGGAGACTCCAGACCAAGCAGACTGAAAGAACTGGGCATGCTTAGCCTTGAGAAAGGAAGACTGAGGGGCGATATCATAGCACTCTTCAAATACTTGAAAGACAGTCATGCACAGGAGGGGCAGGATTTGTTCTTAATCATCCCAGACTGCAAGAGGTGTAATAATGGGCTCAAGTTACAGGAAGTTACAGATCTCCTAACAGAGCAGTATAACAATGGAACCAATTAACATGGAAGGTGGTCAATTGGTTCCAATGCTAGAGGTATTCAAGAGAAAATTGGACAACCACCTGTCGAATCTATTTTGAGCTGGATTCCTGCACTGAGCTGGGGAGTGGACCCAATAGCCTTATAGGCCCCTTCCCACACAATTCTTTGATTCTGTTTGAAAGATTTCCATAACTGCAAAAGAAAAATGAAATTCTGCACAGCCACTAGTGAGGTCTTGCCTTAAATTACAGTGGTGCCTCGCTTGATGATGTTAATTCGTTCCAGCGAAATCGCTGTAGAGCGAATACATTGTCAAATGAAATTTTTAAAAACCCATTGAAACGCATTGAAAACCGTTCGATGCGTTCCAATGGGCTGAATACCTGCTCGTCCAGCAAAGATCCTCCATATGGCGGCCATTTTCAGTGCCTGTAAAGCGAGGAATCCATCCTAGAAAACAGTGGGGGACCATTTTCTTTGGCCGGTGGCCATTTTGAAACCCAACGATCAGCTGTTTGCTGATTGTCGTAAAGCGAAAATCGGTTCCCGAAGCAGGGAACCGATCATCATAAAATGAAAAAAACCCATTTAAACCATCGATTTGAGATCGCAAAAACCTAATCGTACAGCGATTTCCTCATTAAGCGAGGCACCACTGTACAGTATATGGATGTTACATCTCTACTGGCCATGATAGCTGAAGGAATTCTAACAATCATTCTCTTATAAAAATTCAAGAGCTAAAACAACAATATTTTTCAGGAATACCATTGATATCCCAGATTATATTTTCAACGGTCACATTAGCTGGGAGATTCTGGGAACTGTAGCCCAAATACATCATTTGAGACATTCTGGGAGCTGTAGTCCTCTTTTATTGAAACAGTAAAAGCCAAAGTCACAACATTTTTCATATTAATAGTAATAACCATAGTTTATATAAGCAGATCACACTGAGATATAGTTTGAATCTCTGTGCACTCTCAAATACCCTGAACCAGTATTTATCATTACCCATAGAACACTCTCAGTTAGGCATGCTTTCATTGAACGTGCATCTCATCTCATCTTGGGGCATGTCTGGACAGGGCATTTTTTAATCAAGAAAAAAACAGATATAAGTTACACAGAATATGCAGCCCATACTTCTGTGTTATACCTTCTTGACTGGCTTATCAGGCTTTGCCAGGTCCCATTTCCTCATTAAAAATTAGCTTGTGTGAAAATTAGCTTGTGTGAGAAAGGCTGGAATAACCACTGGAAATTGGAACTATTTTTCAAAATGTTCTGATATGAACACTATGGGTAATCCAGTTCCTTTAGGGACATAATTACATTCTATTGTGACTAAAATCTCCCTTTGCATCCGTACCCCAGAGCCAGGCTTGTGACAGAGAATCACCACAAATAATAAAACTAGTTCCATATTATGAACTTCGTGTGCCTTTCCAATTCCCCACCCTAACAACTTTGGAGAACTTAGACCAGAAATATCTCCTCATCCCATACATAAGAGGTACAGTGAATAGTATAGTTATTGTTCCAGCTGTATTCCGAAGCCTCAATCTTCTGTCTCCTCTCTTCCCAAGAGCAACAAATAATACAGTGGTGCCTCGCAAGACGATGTTAATTTGTTCCACGAAAAACATCGTCTTGTGAAAACATCGTCTTGCAAAACGCAGCTCCCCATTGGAATGCATTAAAATCTAATTAATGCGTTCCAATGGGGAAAAATCATCCATAGAAAACATCGTCTTGCGAAGCACAAGAGCGATTGCAAAAACCAATCGTCTTGCGGATTAATCATCCCGCGAGGCAATCGTTTTGCGAGGCACCACTCTATTGCTATTACTGGTTCAGTTCACTTTGTTGTACAATAATCAATCAGGCTTTTTGCTAAGCAGTGAAAAAAGACAAGCAATGAAAGTAGATTTTAAAAAATCAATAAGCAATGTACTGCATATAATTAATACACAATCCATACTAAAATGCTATAGTGGATAATTATTTAAATGGCTATTAATTAAAATAAATCTAGAAGCATGTCTTGCCAGGCTGGGAAGGATAAAATATTCTGCCTCCTTAAATCTCCTTAGATCTACCCGAATCACCCAACATAGCCAGCAGGGACGGCTGAGGGGTCTGACGCCGAGGGAGGCCCGGAATGAAAAAACAAGAAATCGGGCCTTCTCGGCGGTGGCCCCTCGGCTGTGGAACCCCCTCCCCACTGAAATTTGGCTGGCACCCTCGCTGGGCATTTTCAAAAGCCAGCTGAAAACTTGGCTATTCAAGCAGGCCTTCCCTTCAATCAATTAAGTCATTCTTATTTTCCTCTTTTATTCTTGCCATCTTGAGACTCTTTGCTTTAAATTAACTGTTAACATTGTAAATTTATGATATTATATTTTATATTGTTTTGTTTTTTAATGTAAAACTGTATATTTAAAATTGTTTATATCTTCTAAGTTGTGAGCCGCCCAGAGTAGACTATGTCTAGATGGGCGGCATATAAATGCAATAAATAAATAAATAATTGTTTCTGCCAATATAAACAGTTTTCATCAAGACAATATTATTTCCAAGGAAATATAATATCCTGCAAACCAGTCAAGGTGTTGGACTCTTAAGTCAAGATATAATGATCAAGATCCTATTGAGTTTTTGCACTAGAGTAATGCAATTGAATTGGACATGACTTAATGACTAGACAACAACAAATGCAATTGATAGCTTATGCATTAACTGTAAAGCATAAAAGAATGACATCTTATTCTGGAGTGACCTGGCACTTAACAGCACCATCACAAAACCTGAGGGGAATGTGGTAGAGCAACTAGAAACCATCTATTTGAGCTTGGGAGTTCTAGGAGTGCTATATTCAGAAGAATGAGCAAGAATATGATACCCAGGGACTATGCTCTGAACAACAACATGAGCACAACTGCATTAAGATACTACACTGTATAAAAATCTTATTTGGCTACACAAAAGCAGCTAGGAGATACAAGGTGCAAATAAATCAAACAGCCTTGATAACCAGCACTCATACTATCTTTACTGTAAAGAGGTGGTAGGAGAGCTAGCCCAGGACAATCCTCACACTCACTGGGAGACAAATAGAGCTGCAAGCAATTCCTGTAATGCAAAGTAGTTGAGGGTCATTTGGTCTTCAATAGACTATTAAGAGCCATTCATTTAACAAAAGACCTGCTACTCAATCGGTGATATGGATCAATCCTATGACCTGTATCTTTGTTCTCTGCTTATGCAGGGTGACTCTGAGGTCCTTGTTGAGCTTCTACACTTCTGAATGTACTACTATGTCAGAGAGAGGCAAAACCATCGTTACATCAAAACAGAAAAATCAGCATTAGCCCAGTCTTCCTCATCCTAGTATCCTTCAGATGTTCTGGACTACACATGCCATCTACAAAATTCAATATGTTTAGAGAGAGGGAGGTTAGAAAAGCTGTTTTAAAATCTAATCATACAAGATACTCTTGGGCAGCAACTGCACTCTTAATTACACTCTTAAATCTCCTTTAAGCTGAACTTTTGGTTGAGTTATTTTAGCTAGGAGCTGCTGTTGGGTCTGCAGTTGATGCTATATATGAGCAATGAAGAACCTATGGTACGTGTGCCACAGCTGGCAAGCAGAGCCCTCTCTGAGGGCACGCGAGCCGTAAGTCGCTAGATCGCTACCCCAGCAGCCAAACCTGAGGAGCCGGCTGCAGCTGCAGTGCTAGCGCCCCGACAGGTGGCAGGCCAGGATCTGGAGCAGCTGGTGCTGGCAGCGGCGCACTGGCCATGCTATAGGCAGTGGCGGGGTTGGGCATGACTGGAGGCGGATCTGGATTAGGGTCTGGAGGCACCTCCATGCTTGGGATTCCCCCTTCCACTGCCCCCCCCTACTGGGTTTTCTTCCCCCCCCCCCAGTTTGGGCACTTGGGCTCAAAAAGGTTCACCATCACTGCTATATATCCTAAACGTCTTTATTATAAGGAATTAAATTATTCTGAAATGCATTTGCATATGAATTTAATTAATTATGCACATTAATTATGGAGGTTTTATAGGTATACGGTTTACCACTCCCTTCTTCTGGGGTGCTCTGGGACTTGTGCAGTTTGCCTAAGGCTACACTGGCTGGCCCTTCTTCCAGGAGCCTCAGTACAGTATTGAACCATGAACATCTCTAGCTCCACAGTCAGGTGCCCCAGCTCACTGAGCTGTCTAGCCAGTTATTGGCATATATAAATAGTAATTAAATGTCATTTCCCCTAGCACTGGATTTCCCCCATCCTTCTATTCCTCTTTGCCATTATGATGCTGTGTTTGCCCCCACTGCAGTTTTTTCCACTCTTATGTACCAGTGGTGGAGGCCCCCCATATGCTCTGTCTTGCACTTCAGCTCCCCAAAGCCCAAGGACAGTACTAAGG